CGTTGTTGCCTCTGTAGCATGAGTTGTTGTTCACACTGGGGTCCTTGGGCTGGTTGGATCCAGTGCCTGGAGCCACGTAAAAGTCTGCAATCTTGAACGAGCGGATCTTATCGTTATAGTCACCTAGGTAGCCGACACCATAGCTCCTAGTGTTCTGATCATAACTGTATCGGAACCAGCTACCGTCGCATTGGGTTCCGTCATACAAGGTCAAAGAGGTGTAGCCATTTCGAGTGTCAAACTGTTCGAACCAGAAGGCTGAGACACGGCCGATACCAAACTTCGACATATCAATCCCATAGCAAGTGTTATAAGCGAAGTTCTTACACTTCGCACATCTGCCTTGGTGTTTTTGATCTTCCCAAAAGCGTACATTGGAGGCGCTTGGCATAGCGGTTGCATAAGCTGACACCTCTCTGTTGGTCCCATTTTGGGCTAGGTGAGGGCTGCCTCCCTCGTCAAACTGCGCGGGGGGGTTGGCAGAATTGACCTTGATCTCGGGCAGAGGATGGACTATGCCGCCTCGAGGAGCAGCCTCCACGACCTGGTTCAACTGGAGCAAAGGAACCAAAGCCACGACAGCAATGGAAAGGATCTTAGACAAGCTAGGCATTTTGTTCTTGTTTGTTTATCTTTGGGAACAGAATAAAGTGGCTCTGTAAACGGGGTTATGACCTAGAGTAGGGGCAATAGTGGTTTGCAAGGTTTTGGTGAGCAGAAAGGATTAAGTTTCAAAGAGGTATACTATGGCAATAACATTCATGTCAGTGGTAATAGGATAGGTCGATACTCCAAGAGGATGCTACTTACTGGCTCAAAGACGATGTAAGGAAAGGAAAGTTGGTTGTGGTTTGAAGGTAGAAATGTAGGAATGGGTCGGTAGTTTTATACTTGCAGATGGTCATATTGTCAAGGAAAGCGAAAAGACATGACATATCCAAGAACTGGGATAAAGTGCGCTACATGTTTGACTGGGATAAAGAGAGTTACGAGCTGGTGCACAGCACCCACTCTGGCTTTCTGTGCTCTGTGGACTGTGGAAAGGGCTCTCGAGGGCGAATATCTGCGGTATCTTGAGGGCGAATATTTGTACGCGCAAACATGAGACAGGGCTGTCTTGTAAATTAATGGACACCTGTTACACAAAATTTATTCTGTCATAGCGATTGTCCGTCCAATTGCATGACAAAGAGAATTCTTTGGTTTTTCTCTATGAATAAGCTAATAAACTTTTTTCTTTTTCTTTTTTTTTCCTCTTTAAAGTAAAAATAAAATTAAAAAAAAAAAAAAAAAAAAAAGAAGCCAAAGAAAATGTGAGAAATGGATCAAACAATCAGAGACATACGGTAAAAGCTTCACATGTAAGAGAGTACATGTACTCCCTCTTACATTGTACAACTTAGTAAGTAGAGTCCTACGCGGAGGTTCTAATTGCTTATAGTTCTTCAAGCATATTCTATACAAACCATTGGTTGGATTGACTTCTCGACAAACTCAAGGGCCGATTGAACCATCCTTATGGGGCAGGCTCAGCGCCAAGACCTATGTTAAAGTTTATAAACCGAATGGATATGGTTCTATGGTTGATCAATCGATTGTACCCGGATCAGTCTATCTTGCATTTGGACCTATTACATGTGGTTAAAGCCTTACTGCCGTTTCGAATTTCGTGTTGTGTGGACCAAAACGATGGAGCCATACCATGCCAATAGCGCCTATATCTACCGAGTGACAAACGTAGTAGCTGAGGTTACAAGGCCTCGCGAAGCTGCATTGTTGTTTTTCCAGGCGCACGCAAGTGCTTATATGTTTATATGTCTATTTGCGAAACCTTGGTGGCGGAGTACTTAAACATTTGTGATATGTCTCTTAGCAAAGACTGATCAATTATCGCTGTAGCCATTGCTGCTGCCTCAAATGCTCTATCTTCCTCAACAATTTTCACATTGAAATTGAACTCTGGAGCGTTGAGTGCAGAGTCGAAAGAGAGAAAGTTAATAGCGTTGATGTAAGAGCAGGGTTATTGGGTATTAAGCATTTTAATTGTTCTATCTGCCTTAAAATAAACTTTATCTGTTTTCTTTTACATTGTTCCACTAATAAAAAAAATTGTCCAAAGGTAAGTTAAGAAATTCATCCGAACTTTGCAGACTTTATCCAGCAGGTGGTCATGCGGAATTAACCATAGGATTTTGTCGCACATGTAAGGACATGGAGTTTAGATATTTATGATAGTTGATTCAACTTCAGCCACAATCAGATAGCTTATAATATATATATATGTTTGCTTATATCGGATAAAGCTTTCTCCTCATCAGAATAATACAAATTGAAAAGAGATAAGTGTATTTCTCATCAGTAGAACTAACTTATGGGATCCATTCTACATTTTAAAGTTGAAAAAAAATGGATGTAGGCTCACAACCAATTGTGTTGCCTTTTATGGCAACAACATTGTGAGGGAGCAAATGCTATTACCATAAAAGGCAAAAAATTGTGCAACGTAATGAGTGTACTTGCCAGGAAAGTACCTCCAAAACCCTAAGTTTCTCGCAGGCTTGAGTTAAAGTAGAGTCATCTACATTTTTCCTTATGCGGTATTTTAAGAACCATTTAGCCGTCGTACCGCACCTTTCGCTTCACGGTCCGAAGGGCAAATGGAGATCTTTTTTTGCCACAGTTCTCATCATTGCGTTTTGCCTTCCACTTATATAGTTTTATTCCATGGCACACTTAGGTTTCCTGACCGAAACCAAATAAATTAATAGCCGGTTCGGGGACTCTCTTCTATTACCGCGTAGGAAGAGCAAAAAACGCGTAGTTGAACTCAGCTATGCTCGCCTCATGCGAATAATGATTATTACCTTCACTGACATAAACTGTATAGTATGCTTCCCGTAATGTATTTTGCCACCAAAAACCAAGACAACATGACCTACCTGCCTTTACTGTCTCTCTCGAGCCAAATGTTATTCTCCCAGAACAGGTCCTAAATCATAGGTAGGAGGACATCCGCTATTGCAAATGCAATGCCATTAAGTGTGTGTGCCTGGAAAAACAACAATGATAATAGCAGCTTCGCGAGGCCTTGTAACCTCAGCTACTACGTTTGTCACTCGGTAGATATAGGCGCTATTGGCATGGTATGGCTCCATCGTTTTGGTCCACACAACACGAAATTCGAAACGGCAGTAAGGCTTTAACCACATGTAATAGGTCCAAATGCAAGATAGACTGATCCGGGTACAATCGATTGATCAACCATAGAACCATATCCATTCGGTTTATAAACTTTAACATAGGTCTTGGCGCTGAGCCTGCCCCATAAGGATGGTTCAATCGGCCCTTGAGTTTGTCGAGAAGTCAATCCAACCAATGGTTTGTATAGAATATGCTTGAAGAACTATAAGCAATTAGAACCTCCGCGTAGGACTCTACTTACTAAGTTGTACAATGTAAGAGGGAGTACATGTACTCTCTTACATGTGAAGCTTTTACCGTATGTCTCTGATTGTTTGATCCATTTCTCACATTTTCTTTGGCTTCTTTTTTTTTTTTTTTTTTTTTTTAATTTTATTTTTACTTTAAAGAGGAAAAAAAAAGAAAAAGAAAAAAGTTTATTAGCTTATTCATAGAGAAAAACCAAAGAATTCTCTTTGTCATGCAATTGGACGGACAATCGCTATGACAGAATAAATTTTGTGTAACAGGTGTCCATTAATTTACAAGACAGCCCTGTCTCATGTTTGCGCGTACAAATATTCGCCCTCAAGATACCGCAGATATTCGCCCTCGAGAGCCCTTTCCACAGTCCACAGAGCACAGAAAGCCAGAGTGGGTGCTGTGCACCAGCTCGTAACTCTCTTTATCCCAGTCAAACATGTAGCGCACTTTATCCCAGTTCTTGGATATGTCATGTCTTTTCGCTTTCCTTGACAATATGACCATCTGCAAGTATAAAACTACCGACCCATTCCTACATTTCTACCTTCAAACCACAACCAACTTTCCTTTCCTTACATCGTCTTTGAGCCAGTAAGTAGCATCCTCTTGGAGTATCGACCTATCCTATTACCACTGACATGAATGTTATTGCCATAGTATACCTCTTTGAAACTTAATCCTTTCTGCTCACCAAAACCTTGCAAACCACTATTGCCCCTACTCTAGGTCATAACCCCGTTTACAGAGCCACTTTATTCTGTTCCCAAAGATAAACAAACAAGAACAAAATGCCTAGCTTGTCTAAGATCCTTTCCATTGCTGTCGTGGCTTTGGTTCCTTTGCTCCAGTTGAACCAGGTCGTGGAGGCTGCTCCTCGAGGCGGCATAGTCCATCCTCTGCCCGAGATCAAGGTCAATTCTGCCAACCCCCCCGCGCAGTTTGACGAGGGAGGCAGCCCTCACCTAGCCCAAAATGGGACCAACAGAGAGGTGTCAGCTTATGCAACCGCTATGCCAAGCGCCTCCAATGTACGCTTTTGGGAAGATCAAAAACACCAAGGCAGATGTGCGAAGTGTAAGAACTTCGCTTATAACACTTGCTATGGGATTGATATGTCGAAGTTTGGTATCGGCCGTGTCTCAGCCTTCTGGTTCGAACAGTTTGACACTCGAAATGGCTACACCTCTTTGACCTTGTATGACGGAACCCAATGCGACGGTAGCTGGTTCCGATACAGTTATGATCAGAACACTAGGAGCTATGGTGTCGGCTACCTAGGTGACTATAACGATAAGATCCGCTCGTTCAAGATTGCAGACTTTTACGTGGCTCCAGGCACTGGATCCAACCAGCCCAAGGACCCCAGTGTGAACAACAACTCATGCTACAGAGGCAACAACGATGAGTGTGCAAATAGTCTTTAAAAATATATATATGTTTTTTTTGGACAATAAAGAGATTCAGTAGCTCAGCCTCACTCTAGAGAGAAGAGAGCGAAAGAGTAAAGGAGCTAATCTGATATAAAAATGCATTATGTCTGCATACTTTTACATGAAATGGGTGACAAAGATCATCATGCATTCTATTGCTCAAGCCACTACCTTCCTGTGTTCATACAGCTCAAGCTTCAACAAGTTCTTACGACTCCTGAGGCTAATAAGGCCGTGGATACAGTATCGGAAAAAATATCAAGATACATGTTGAGAAACTCGAGAATTACTGCCCTCGTGGTATCTTTATTAGTATAGTAGTCACGCATCCAACCATACTGCTTGACAGCTTGAGTCTCATACAGGAGCTTAGTCCTAAGGAGATTGAGGATAGGGAGAACACACATGCAAGATTGTATAATTCTAAAATAGCAGAAGCGGACCAGGGCCTAAAACAAGTGTTGATCAGGATCGACTAGGAGGATATTCGCAAGATTTTTCCAGCGAATCATGTTGATTTTCTGGACAGAATCAAACGCAAGTGGGTTAATCCAGATGAAGATGAAGATGATGAAAACCAAGGTAACCCTCAGAAAATTATGTTATATGAAAACATATAAGTTGTTGTCTAGCTCAATAAACTCATTCGCAAAATGAAAAGAGTGTATAACGAATCGATAAATAATCCTCCGTACAAAAACTTCAGCTTTGCCTCAATGCTTTTTTAAAATGTAATGCTGTTAGGGCAAATTGTATTTGCAATATTTGTTAGAAGTGCGCAATCACAGCTCTTCTTTATTGTCCCATGTACTACTCACTTTATCTATATGCTGTAAATCCACTTCATTTGCAATTCATCTGAATACGGCGACTGTTCGGGCTCCACATGGAGCTGTATACATCCGAACACTACCACATGCCATTGACTATCCTGCGTTCCTTGAGAAATACCTTTAACATGCACATGCACTTTTACCATCTTAGCTACAAGCAGTAGCTCCAATTCATAATAATATTTCTGCAGAAAACCTACTATCTTCATCTGAGACCCTTGATGAGAAATTTGAGGGAATGATCCCGGGCATTACAGATTCTGGTGAGTTTTTATTTTATTATTTTTATTTTTATTTTTATTTTTTATTTTTTATTTTTATTTTTATTTTTATTTTTATTTTTTATTTTTTATTTTTATTTTTATTTTTATTTTTTATTTTTTATTTTTATTTTTATTTTTTATTTTTTATTTTTTATTTTTTATTTTTTATTTTTTATTTTTTATTTTTTATTTTTTATTTTTTATTTTTTATTTTTTATTTTTTATTTTTTATTTTTTATTTTTTATTTTTTATTTTTTATTTTTTATTTTTTATTTTTTATTTTTTATTTTTTATTTTTTATTTTTTATTTTTTATTTTTTTTTTTTATTTTTTATTTTTTATTTTTTATTTTTTATTTTTTATTTTTTATTTTTTATTTTTTATTTTTTATTTTTTATTTTTTATTTTTTATTGGCGGCAGCGATAGTGCACTTAGTATCGGGGATTAACGAGCTATCTCAAGAGGCGTCATCTAGTTGAGCTTGATAATAGTTTAGGCAGAGCCAGATTTATCGCTCATAGTGATAGTGAAGACGAAGAAAGTAAGTGCTACCAGGACTCAAACTTAGTAATAAACATCAGAGGCAACGGCGAGTAAGTACTTTCTATTCTAGATAAATATAAAATGGGAATAGGTTCAAATAGTTTACAAGATGAAATAAAAGAGATCGTTCATTATTATTCAAAAATCTTCGTCGAATAAAAAAAAGGAATATTACTAGAACGACCAGAAAATTGTTTCAGCGACTCTATTTGTTTGCCTGCCCTGGCCCAGTAGCCAATCAGCATCAGCCATCGAGGGACAAAACAATCGTCTTTAACGTGTTAGTCTTTCGATAAATATGCCTCGATATATTATGGTTGCTGGAAGAGCAGACTCCTAGCTACAAATAGAGGCAGTTTAAGGCAAATATACCCAAGAATGATGGAGGAATGAGGGTGAAAAGTTATGTTGCAATTCCTTTCGTCATTTTCTGCCTTTTACACTGAACTAAACCAAATGCTGCACGCCCAAACATAGAGCTAGAGGCCCGCAAATGCGAGAAACATTATAAAGCACATATAGGCGCAACCCAGCATGACTTTAGGGCTCTTCAAGAGACGGCTCATGGGCGTAAAGTCGGAAATATATCTCAAAACACCGTTTGTCCACGACCCGGCAACTTCCAAACAAGGAAAAACAAGTTTTCCTTACACAATTTCCCAATATAAAGCGCGAATCGGATCCTCTATTAAAAACTGAATACTTCCTGGGGGTTTAGAAGAAGTTTTCATTGCATAATGATGTTTTTCTTGAATGCTTGATACTCATTTAGAATTAGATAGCCTAGACAGTTTTCTAAGAGTATTATTTATATATCGTCATGCATGAACTAGGATTATCAAATCTCGCCTTTAAGCGCTGAACCTTGATGGAGGCTTCTAAAATAACTAGTAGAACCCTCTGTGGGAATTTCAGCTTAATCTAGTGCATATATGAGGACTTTTCCTTGGCGAATTTGGTTGTCAGACTTGAAGTCTGGCAATGCCTGGAGCAAAATTCAATTTGACAGGGAGGGGGTGTGCATTTTTCCTTTATCCTCACATCTTACCTAGCTCTTCTCTCACAGCTTGAGCCTAACTCAGTCTTCCATTTTCCCTTTAGCTAAACCATCGCCATGAAAGAAGATCATTATTCAAAAAAAAAAAAAAAAAAAAAAAAAAAGAAACCGATATACGAAGATCCATTTTGCTGGTGATAGTGATCCAAGTCCAGCTTGTGATGACATACCTCGCCCAACAGGTACTGAAACACTGAGGGTGCTTGGACGAGGCAGAACTATAGTTATAGATTATTTTAGCTCTGGCCCTGAGCTGAATTGCGGCGAATAAATGTATCCATTGCCAATGGGTGCTCCAGAATCAGATCCAAAATGTTTATAAATTGGCACAGTGATAGTCTGCCAAACACATCATGCCATCTTCTACACTCATTACGCCCCTGTGCGTCTGTAAATACGGAAGCACTAAGAATTCGGAGCCTACTCTAGCACATGTCCTTAAGTAGTATGGTGATTTTATGTTTCTGGAAAACATATTTCTGGAGCAAACACTAACAAACTTGTGTCGATGTTAATATTATATCATACTAGCTCCAAATCACGTAAATGCAAAAGCACCCACGTATATGTGGGAACGTAGCGGGGCCCTCCTTGATGTAAGGTATCTAGTCACGTTACGGCACGATCAGACTGGATGTGCAGAAACCTAAAACCAAGAAAGTCGTCCTCAGAAGGGATGTGAGATAGGAGTAAACTAAGCCAAGTTTCAAAATACGTTGGCCATAAGGTTGTGGTAAGAGGGATGGGAGGAGGAAGCGAGTGGCAGGCCATAAAAGCAGTGATTCACCGGTGCATTTTTTCACCAGCCCACTAAAGTCCAATAATTTTTTCATCGGTAGGCTTGACTGGCGCAATGTACCGCCGATCTACAAGAAGCAGTATGATGTACCCTGATACGAAAATATCCTATCCCGCCCTTGCTTACTTGTACTAATTTTGCGCTCCCAACTGTGTACTTGAATGTTGCTACTCTGTTATATATAACTGACTAATACTCTCCTCTTTCACCACCTTAATGAGGTGCTTATTGGCTCCATTATCCTATTCCAATATACACGCGTCCGGAGTTGTTCTCCACAAGCTCACTGCTCATTCGCCCAGAGAGTGCTTCTTCTTTATGGGCTTCACACATCCTCGCATTTGTCTTTGCATTTTCAAAGGCCTCACACGTAGTAGCATAGTAGAATAGAGCATTGTCAAATTTTAATTAGGGATGGTAGCAATAGTCGGTAGTGCAGATCTCTGTAAGTGGATCCTTATCCGGATCAGGTTTCACTCCTACTCCTGGCTCCAATTCGGAGTCGTTAATGACGTAGGACTTGATTTTATCATTAAAGTCAGCCAGCGTCGCATAAGCGATAATTTCGTCCTGCCATTCACCCGAGTTTCGGAAATATGTCCCATTGCAACTGTCTCCTTCGTAAAACGTTACGGACGTATAGCCCTTACGTGTGTCCATCTGCTGGATGACAATTCCAGAGGCGACGCTCTTCTTGTTTCCTGGAGTGATTCTTACGCACTTGCCGTAGGGAGGCCACCCACATGAAAAGCATTCACCACGATAATTAAAGTGCTCAAAGAAGCTCAAAATAGTTGGGGCCACACCAGCTGCGAGTTCACGGACAGGAGCTGTCGCTGCGGAAGCTGTAGCCCCATGAAAGATCTCTGCTACAGGAGCTCCTAGTGCCGGAACAGAGCTCTGACCTTGGCCCTGAACGAGAGGAGCCAGTCCCAAAGCGAGAGCGGTGAGTATACGGAATAAGCCTGGCATCGTTTTTTTTTCTTTTTTTTTTTTTCTTTTTCTTTTTCTTTTTCCTTTTCTTTTTCCCTAGTCTTTACTAGTTGGCAGGATAGGATAGAGTTGGTCAACTGATGCTAGGATCGTTTCTTCTTTTGAGATGTATGAAATCTAACTGGTCGAGCACACACTGCCTTTCTACTTACTTTGGGGATAGGAAGTACGATATATCGATCGGATGAAGAAGGATGTAGATGAATGAAGAGGGAAGGGAATGAGAAAGAAGGCCTGCCTTAATAAAGAAGTCGCAAAAAAAAAAAAAAAAAAAAAAAAAAAAAGTCTAGGTTGTGCGACATGACATGATGCTGTAGAAAATGGATATAGATCAAAGTAAGAGGGAATGAGTTTCTCTTGTTTCTTCAATGTGTGGAATTCTATTACAACCTAGGAGTGATCTTCACTGTGCCTGCATTCCCTGCATTGCTTTCACGCATGAGTAAGGATAGGAATCCATCACAACCATCTCCAGCTGCGTTGTCCAGGATGGACAATAATAAAAGGAAGTAAAGAAAAGGAAGTAAAGAAAAGGAAGTAGAGGAAGGAAGTAAAGAAAAGGAAGTAGAGGAAGGAAGTAGAGGAAGGAAGCAAAGTAGAGGAGGCAAAGTAGAGGAAGCAAAGTAGAGGAAGCAAAGCAGAGGAAGCAGAGCAGAGGAAGCAAAGCAGAGGAAGCAAAGCAGAGGAAGCAAAGTAGGGAAAGTACAGTAAAGAGAATAGAAAAGAAAAGATATAAATACTACAATATATAATGGTGCACATATCGGTCATCTAGCCTTGGAAAGGTGCAAGAACTGTGCTTTAAACCGGCACTGCTTCGTGATTTTGCCATTAGACTAATAGAACCACATAAACATGGTTGTTTGTTCCCCATGGCTCCTTACTCCCAGCCTTGAACTACATGTACAGTAGTGCATCTACATCAAAACATCGTAGGTCGACATGATAGTACGACAGCGAGTTTATGCTTCTATTCACTTTAATGCAATAAAGGTATTTCTTCTCATTCTCCTTCATTCTCCCTCATTCTCCTTCATTCTCCCTCATTCTCCTTCATTCTCCCTCATTCTCCCTCATTCAAACTGAGTTACTTTCCTCCACGTGACACGGCTACGGTTCAATGATTGAGCCAGCGAGAAAGAGGGCGAATGGAGAAGAGATATATTGGTAGAATTAGAATAAATAGAAGCTGTGGAACAAGCGCGCTGTTCTGTAATTTATTATTTCTCCTGTCCTAAACCTATAAATTGAAACTTTGGATGGCAAGCAAAATGAGGGCGAGGGATAATTGGGGAAAAAAAAAAAAAAAAAAAAAAAAAAAGACAACAGAATATGTATTAGTATATACATAACAACATACATGTGTATTTATCCTTCTGTAACTGATGAGCTCTTCCTTAGTACTCTGGCAGCACTCTCTTGACTTAATGCAGGAACTATATGAGGCTCATAAGCGTTTGCTATATCATTATAGCATCCACCATTACTTGTATGTATTGGCTTATTAGGTGAAGTTTGTGGACTGGGCGCGTCGCAGATGGCGGGTATGGCCAACATGATCGACATGGCTGTCATTGCAAAGACCTTGGCAGATATCTGTGCCTAGCAAAAGGATGGCCTTGTTTACCTCGGCCTCTTTTATTCCGTTTCTCTTTCACTCCTTCTCTTCCATTGCTAGCACTCTGCCATGCTCAATATACTCTTGAGCGTTGCTCAGCTCCGAGTCTGCATCCTTGAAGAGATGGCACAGCCATTACAGCTAGCCATATTGCCATGATTGATCGTATCCAAGTCCATAGTTCGAAGGATAGGATGTATAAATTGATCTTTATCACTCAGTTCATGTAAAAGTATGCAGATAGAACGCATTTTTTGTCTCGGGCTAGCTCCTTCACTCTCTTTTCTCTAAAGCTGAAAATGTGTGATACTGAGCTGCCGAATCTCTTTATTGTTCATTTTCTTTTACACTCGCTCTTAGAGCCTCTATAACATGATTTGTTGTTCACACTGGGGTCCTTGGGCTGGTTGGTTCCAGTGCCTGGAGCCGCGTAAAAGTTTGCAATCTTGAATGAGCGGATCTTATTATTATACGCACCCATATGGCCAACACCATAGTTCCTAGTCGACTGATCCTCACTATATCGGAACCAGTTACCGTTGCATCGGGTTCCGTCATACAAGGTTAAAGAGGTGTACCCAATTCGAGTGTCATACTGTTCGAGCCAGAAGGCTGAGACACGGCCGATATCAAACTTCGACATATCAATCCCATAGCAAGTGTTATAAGCGAAGTTCTTACACTTTGCACATCTGCCTTGGTGGCCATTATCTTCCCAAAAACGTAAATTGGTGGCGCCTGGCATACTACCCGCATAAGCTGACACCTCTCCACTGGTCCTATTTCGTGCTAGGTGAGGGCTGCCTCCCTCGTCAAACTGCGCGGGGGGTCTGGCAGGATCGACCTTCATCCCAGGCAGAGGATGGATTATGCCGCCTCGAGGAGCAGCCTCCACGACCTGGTTCAACTGGAGCAAAGGAACCAAAGCCACGGCAGCGATGGAAAGGATCTTAGACAAGCTAGGCATTTTGTTCTTGTTTGTTTATCTTTGGGAACAGAATAAAGTGGCTCTGTAAACGGGGTTATGACCTAGAGTAGGGGCAATAGTGGTTTGCAAGGTTTTGGTGAGCAGAAAGGATTAAGTTTCAAAGAGGTATACTATGGCAATAACATTCATGTCAGTGGTAATAGGATAGGTCGATACTCCAAGAGGATGCTACTTACTGGCTCAAAGACGATGTAAGGAAAGGAAAGTTGGTTGTGGTTTGAAGGTAGAAATGTAGGAATGGGTCGGTAGTTTTATACTTGCAGATGGTCATATTGTCAAGGAAAGCGAAAAGACATGACATATCCAAGAACTGGGATAAAGAGCGTTGCGCGTTGGTGTACCGCGCCCACTCTGGTTATCTATGTTCTGTGCCTATGGAAAAGGGCTCTTGAGGGCGAATGTGTGCTGCTCCCTACTCGCACGCGCCCATCTTGTAAAATAAATGAATGCCTGCCTGTTACACAGAAATTGCTCTGTCTTTAATAGCAGAGCTCGTCCAATGATTAAATAAGTAAGAAGGTCCTTGGCCTTTCCCTATGAATAAGCTTATTAAAGAAATAAGAAAAATAAAAATAAAAAACAGACCAGGAAAATGTGAGAAACGGACCAAACAATCAGAGACACACGGTAAAAGCTTCACATGCAGGAGTGCGCCTGTCTCTCTCCTACATTTCACAACTTAAAAGTAGAGTCCTACGCGGAAGTCCTAATCATCTTTTTTTTTTTTTTTTTTTTTTTTTTTTTTTTTTCGTTCAAACATATTCTATACAAGCCATTGGTTGGGATTGTTTTTTCGACGAACTCAAGGATCTATTGAACCATCCTTGCCGAGGTAGCCTCATTGCCAAGGCCTGCATTAAGGTTTATAAACCGAATGAAGATGGTTCTATAGTTAGCCAATCGAATGCGTCAGGATCAATCTATCTTGCATTTGAACTTATTACATCTGGTTCAAGCCGCGTTGCCGCTGCGATCCTCACGTTGTACGAACCAAAAAGATGGGGCCGCACCATGTCAATAGCGCCTATATCCATCGAGTGGCAAACGTAGTAGCTGAGGATACAAGGCCTCGCGAAGCTGCCATTAATATTACTGCTTTTCCGAGTGTGCACTAGTGTTTATATGTCTATTTGCGAAGCCTTGACGGCTGGGCACTTAAACATGCGTGGTATGTCATTTGGTACAGGCTCTATAACAAAGACGAAGTACAGTTGCCCAACTGTCGCTGTGGCTATTACTGCTGCCTTAAATGCTCTGCCTTCCTTAATACTTTTCAACTTCAAATCGAACTCTGAAGCGTAGAACGTGGAGTCGAAAGAGGAGTAGTTGACAGCGTTGGTGTAACCGCGAGATATATTATTTCACACTTTGACATACTGTTTTAATTCGGTGAATTTATTTTTTAAAATATGGCAATGGATGGAAAATATTTGAACCTGGACTAAGCTCACAGCCAAACTTCACCCATATCTAGACATAGAATATTCTTATATTTTTTTGGTGTGCATTGTGTAACATTATGAGGATACTAGGATGCAATGAGCACTGGTCAGGAAAATAATATATTCAAAAGGCTAAGTTCCTCGCATGGGTTGAGTTAAAGTAGAGGCGTCTACATTGTTCCTTATGCGATATTTTATGAGCCATTTAGCCGTCATACCGCGCCTTTCGCTTCACCGCCCGAAGGGCAAATGGAGATTTTTTTTTGCCACAGTTCTTCATCATTGCGTTTTGCCTTCCACTTATATAGTTTTATTCCATTGCGCGCTTAGAGCTCCTGATCGAAACCAAATAAATTAATAGCCGGTTCGGGGACTCTCTTCTATTACCGCGTAGGAAGAGCAAAAAACGCGTAGTTGAACATCAGCTATACTCGCTTCATGCCAATAATGATTATTATCTTCACTGACATAATCTGTATAGTATTCTTCCCATGATGTATTTTGCCACCAAAAACTAAGGCAACATGGCCTACCTGCCTTTACTCTCTCTCTCTTGAGCCAAGTATTATTCTCCCAGAGCAGGTCTCAAGGCATAGGTAGGGGGACATTCGCTATTGCAATTACAATGCCATTAAGTGTGTGCACCTGAAAAAGGAACAATATTAATGGCAGCTTCGCGAGGCCTTGTATCCTCAGCTACTACGTTTGCCACTCGATGGATATAGGCGCTATTGACATGGTGCGGCCCCATCTTTTTGGTTCGTACAACGTGAGGATCGCAGCGGCAACGCGGCTTGAACCAGATGTAATAAGTTCAAATGCAAGATAGATTGATCCTGACGCATTCGATTGGCTAACTATAGAACCATCTTCATTCGGTTTATAAACCTTAATGCAGGCCTTGGCAATGAGGCTACCTCGGCAAGGATGGTTCAATAGATCCTTGAGTTCGTCGAAAAAACAATCCCAACCAATGGCTTGTATAGAATATGTTTGAACGAAAAAAAAAAAAAAAAAAAAAAAAAAAAAAAAAAAAAAAAAAAAGATGATTAGGACTTCCGCGTAGGACTCTACTTTTAAGTTGTGAAATGTAGGAGAGAGACAGGCGCACTCCTGCATGTGAAGCTTTTACCGTGTGTCTCTGATTGTTTGGTCCGTTTCTCACATTTTCCTGGTCTGTTTTTTATTTTTATTTTTCTTATTTCTTTAATAAGCTTATTCATAGGGAAAGGCCAAGGACCTTCTTACTTATTTAATCATTGGACGAGCTCTGCTATTAAAGACAGAGCAATTTCTGTGTAACAGGCAGGCATTCATTTATTTTACAAGATGGGCGCGTGCGAGTAGGGAGCAGCACACATTCGCCCTCAAGAGCCCTTTTCCATAGGCACAGAACATAGATAACCAGAGTGGGCGCGGTACACCAACGCGCAACGCTCTTTATCCCAGTTCTTGGATATGTCATGTCTTTTCGCTTTCCTTGACAATATGACCATCTGCAAGTATAAAACTACCGACCCATTCCTACATTTCTACCTTCAAACCACAACCAACTTTCCTTTCCTTACATCGTCTTTGAGCCAGTAAGTAGCATCCTCTTGGAGTATCGACCTATCCTATTACCACTGACATGAATGTTATTGCCATAGTATACCTCTTTGAAACTTAATCCTTTCTGCTCACCAAAACCTTGCAAACCACTATTGCCCCTACTCTAGGTCATAACCCCGTTTACAGAGCCACTTTATTCTGTTCCCAAAGATAAACAAACAAGAACAAAATGCCTAGCTTGTCTAAGATCCTTTCCATCGCTGCCGTGGCTTTGGTTCCTTTGCTCCAGTTGAACCAGGTCGTGGAGGCTGCTCCTCGAGGCGGCATAATCCATCCTCTGCCTGGGATGAAGGTCGATCCTGCCAGACCCCCCGCGCAGTTTGACGAGGGAGGCAGCCCTCACCTAGCACGAAATAGGACCAGTGGAGAGGTGTCAGCTTATGCGGGTAGTATGCCAGGCGCCACCAATTTACGTTTTTGGGAAGATAATGGCCACCAAGGCAGATGTGCAAAGTGTAAGAACTTCGCTTATAACACTTGCTATGGGATTGATATGTCGAAGTTTGATATCGGCCGTGTCTCAGCCTTCTGGCTCGAACAGTATGACACTCGAATTGGGTACACCTCTTTAACCTTGTATGACGGAACCCGATGCAACGGTAACTGGTTCCGATATAGTGAGGATCAGTCGACTAGGAACTATGGTGTTGGCCATATGGGTGCGTATAATAATAAGATCCGCTCATTCAAGATTGCAAACTTTTACGCGGCTCCAGGCACTGGAACCAACCAGCCCAAGGACCCCAGTGTGAACAACAAATCATGTTATAGAGGCTCTAAGAGCGAGTGTAAAAGAAAATGAACAATAAAGAGATTCGGCAGCTCAGTATCACACATTTTCAGCTTTAGAGAAAAGAGAGTGAAGGAGCTAGCCCGAGACAAAAAATGCGTTCTATCTGCATACTTTTACATGAACTGAGTGATAAAGATCAATTTATACATCCTATCCTTCGAACTATGGACTTGGATACGATCAATCATGGCAATATGGCTAGCTGTAATGGCTGTGCCATCTCTTCAAGGATGCAGACTCGGAGCTGAGCAACGCTCAAGAGTATATTGAGCATGGCAGAGTGCTAGCAATGGAAGAGAAGGAGTGAAAGAGAAACGGAATAAAAGAGGCCGAGGTAAACAAGGCCATCCTTTTGCTAGGCACAGATATCTGCCAAGGTCTTTGCAATGACAGCCATGTCGATCATGTTGGCCATACCCGCCATCTGCGACGCGCCCAGTCCACAAACTTCACCTAATAAGCCAATACATACAAGTAATGGTGGATGCTATAATGATATAGCAAACGCTTATGAGCCTCATATAGTTCCTGCATTAAGTCAAGAGAGTGCTGCCAGAGTACTAAGGAAGAGCTCATCAGTTACAGAAGGATAAATACACATGTATGTTGTTATGTATATACTAATACATATTCTGTTGTCTTTTTTTTTTTTTTTTTTTTTTTTTTTCCCCAATTATCCCTCGCCCTCATTTTGCTTGCCATCCAAAGTTTCAATTTATAGGTTTAGGACAGGAGAAATAATAAATTACAGAACAGCGCGCTTGTTCCACAGCTTCTATTTATTCTAATTCTACCAATATATCTCTTCTCCATTCGCCCTCTTTCTCGCTGGCTCAATCATTGAACCGTAGCCGTGTCACGTGGAGGAAAGTAACTCAGTTTGAATGAGGGAGAATGAGGGAGAATGAAGGAGAATGAGGGAGAATGAAGGAGAATGAGGGAGAATGAAGGAGAATGAGAAGAAATACCTTTATTGCATTAAAGTGAATAGAAGCATAAACTCGCTGTCGTACTATCATGTCGACCTACGATGTTTTGATGTAGATGCACTACTGTACATGTAGTTCAAGGCTGGGAGTAAGGAGCCATGGGGAACAAACAACCATGTTTATGTGGTTCTATTAGTCTAATGGCAAAATCACGAAGCAGTGCCGGTTTAAAGCACAGTTCTTGCACCTTTCCAAGGCTAGATGACCGATATGTGCACCATTATATATTGTAGTATTTATATCTTTTCTTTTCTATTCTCTTTACTGTACTTTCCCTACTTTGCTTCCTCTGCTTTGCTTCCTCTGCTTTGCTTCCTCTGCTCTGCTTCCTCTGCTTTGCTTCCTCTACTTTGCTTCCTCTACTTTGCCTCCTCTACTTTGCTTCCTTCCTCTACTTCCTTCCTCTACTTCCTTTTCTTTACTTCCTTCCTCTACTTCCTTTTCTTTACTTCCTTTTCTTTACTTCCTTTTATTATTGTCCATCCTGGACAACGCAGCTGGAGATGGTTGTGATGGATTCCTATCCTTACTCATGCGTGAAAGCAATGCAGGGAATGCAGGCACAGTGAAGATCACTCCTAGGTTGTAATAGAATTCCACACATTGAAGAAACAAGAGAAACTCATTCCCTCTTACTTTGATCTATATCCATTTTCTACAGCATCATGTCATGTCGCACAACCTAGACTTTTTTTTTTTTTTTTTTTTTTTTTTTTTGCGACTTCTTTATTAAGGCAGGCCTTCTTTCTCATTCCCTTCCCTCTTCATTCATCTACATCCTTCTTCATCCGATCGATATATCGTACTTCCTATCCCCAAAGTAAGTAGAAAGGCAGTGTGTGCTCGACCAGTTAGATTTCATACATCTCAAAAGAAGAAACGATCCTAGCATCAGTTGACCAACTCTATCCTATCCTGCCAACTAGTAAAGACTAGGGAAAAAGAAAAGGAAAAAGAAAAAGAAAAAGAAAAAAAAAAAAGAAAAAAAAACGATGCCAGGCTTATTCCGTATACTCACCGCTCTCGCTTTGGGACTGGCTCCTCTCGTTCAGGGCCAAGGTCAGAGCTCTGTTCCGGCACTAGGAGCTCCTGTAGCAGAGATCTTTCATGGGGCTACAGCTTCCGCAGCGACAGCTCCTGTCCGTGAACTCGCAGCTGGTGTGGCCCCAACTATTTTGAGCTTCTTTGAGCACTTTAATTATCGTGGTGAATGCTTTTCATGTGGGTGGCCTCCCTACGGCAAGTGCGTAAGAATCACTCCAGGAAACAAGAAGAGCGTCGCCTCTGGAATTGTCATCCAGCAGATGGACACACGTAAGGGCTATACGTCCGTAACGTTTTACGAAGGAGACAGTTGCAATGGGACATATTTCCGAAACTCGGGTGAATGGCAGGACGAAATTATCGCTTATGCGACGCTGGCTGACTTTAATGATAAAATCAAGTCCTACGTCATTAACGACTCCGAATTGGAGCCAGGAGTAGGAGTGAAACCTGATCCGGATAAGGATCCACTTACAGAGATCTGCACTACCGACTATTGCTACCATCCCTAATTAAAATTTGACAATGCTCTATTCTACTATGCTACTACGTGTGAGGCCTTTGAAAATGCAAAGACAAATGCGAGGATGTGTGAAGCCCATAAAGAAGAAGCACTCTCTGGGCGAATGAGCAGTGAGCTTGTGGAGAACAACTCCGGACGCGTGTATATTGGAATAGGATAATGGAGCCAATAAGCACCTCATTAAGGTGGTGAAAGAGGAGAGTATTAGTCAATTTTATATAACAGAGTAGCAACATTCAAGTACACAGTTGAAAGTGCAGAGTTAGCTCAGCTAACAATGGGTAAGCAGCCACAAGACTCTAGAAAAGGAAAAAGAATAAGAAAAAAAGCGTAAAAGATGTAGTAAACAAAATAATATCAGAAACAGAAGCGCTCAATCCCCTGGAATGGCGCCCAAGCACTTTGATTAGTTAGGACTCCTTCCTGAGACTGCTTGCCCCTCTTCAAAACCCACCTTAGGACGTGTATCCTGCACCGCAGAGCAGTGAAAGTAGCGGGGAAGCGAGATGTGTAACACTCCATTGTTTATCTTTTTACAATTTCGTGCAAGCACAATTCTTTTCCCTAAATACTAGTCCGCTTTATATAAAGCAACTCTTTGTCCTTACCTGATCCTAGATCCTCATAGTCGCTCCCTTCGTTCCTTTCACCTCATTAACTACTAAGGTCTTATTCATTTTCCTAGCGATCTATTTAAAATGAGCAGTTGAAGAAAACTGCTAGACTGCTAGGAAACAATATGTGCAATACGCTTGTTTAGTGGTGGTACTTCAGTTGAAGTAATTCATCACAATGAATTCGATAAGTGTAGACTATAATCAAATCTAACTATCGGAAGTGCTGCCCAAAGCCATCTTACAAAAATGGAGTATACCAATGAGGGCAATATTCGGCGGTCTGGGAGCAACTCATGTTTTTTTTTTTTTTTTTTTTTTTCTTGAAGTAAACGGAGCTTGGTGCATGGAATCACTTCTTGATCACTTCAGTATGCGTGATACGTGTAAAAATGTATATTTCCTACACCGATGCCTCTCTATAGCATTCAAATTGTCTGTTGTAGAGGAGTAAAGTATTTATATACTCAAAGTATATTTGCACCTTTTTAATCATGTAGACGTGAGAAGTAGCTCTTTTTTTTTTATTTTTTTTTTATTTTTTTTTTTTTTTATTTTTTTTTTTTTTTATTTTTTTTTTATTTTTTTCATTGTTAATAATAATCCAAGCCGTGAAAACAATGAGGGCAATGTGAAGGCCAAGTTGAGTGGATGATGCACAACAGGGGGCCCAAGGAGGTAACAATCCTTCCGATTACTCATGAACAACTCTCAAAGACTTTCTGTGGATGATATAATATGCGTTCAATCATGTAGTGGCTTACATTGGTGCGTTTGCCGACTACATGGCTCCAGCATATTTTTGGACAAATTGGGTACACAAAACAGACAAAATGTATGTGCATTCTCCTATTGGCTGCATTAACCAGCTGTGCTGTTTTTGTTCTCATGTGTGTGTGTTGCATGCTGCATGCAAACAAAAAAAAAAAAAAAAAAAAAAAAAATTCTACTGATTACATCCACGAACATTGTTTTGGGAGGATATTTTGGGGTTCCTCATTCATGGCCCTTGCCATGCGTATCACCTCGAGTATCAAATTGTTTTAATTAAAAGGATGGAATGAGGCCGTAGCTGCACACGTTCGTTTCTATCGAGTACAAATGTAATTGCTGGAATAGTAACGCCTCGCACAGTTGCCACAGTAATTGTTGTTGTATCACAAAAAATGTATTTTAGCGCTCAATAAAATACAGTTTCTACAATAGCAAAAGAGCTCCTCCTGTTATATTGGAACTCATCCCAAAGAAAGGATGGAGCCTGATCCCAAACAAACCGGTTGGCCCCATAAGAGCATAGGAGATAAGTAAAGAACTGATCAAAAAAAAAAAAAAAAAAAAAAAAAAAAAAAAAAGCAGCCATCATAGTAACGGATGGAATGGGATCAATAGAGGAGTTGCTAATCGCTTTATCACATTTTATTATAATTTGTATCAAAAATGTCTTGAGGCTACACCTTCCAAATCCCATAACCTAGCCAGACCTCTTCCAGAAGCTCAAACTTTAATAGATGGTTGGCAACCTTGTTTACAATTGGATGAGCCTCCATCGCCTGTAACTCATCGCTTGTTGAAGCGGTCATAGCATTAGTAGTAACAACAGTATCAACAGTATTAGCGGTAGAAGAAGGAATTGTAGTTGTGGCTGTTGTCGTTGTGGCTATTGCTGATGTCACGTCTAGGAGCATAGAACCAGGCCTAAAGTCATTTCCAGCGACTGAAGGTACTGTAACTTTAGCTTCACGTTTCTTGAGATTTTCATCACTCATTATCTCTGGTGTCGTTGACAGCGTTTCAGTATTCTTACTCTCAGTGCATTCTTTAGTCACTACGGTTGTCCCGACTGCTGCAGCAGCTGTTGTCCTTTTTTTGGCATAGTGGCCTTGGGCCCACTTCTTGATTGTAGTCATAATTAACTCTTTTGTATCCAATCCCTTGATCCGAACTCGAAGGCGTTTCAGGTTGCTGCAATTCCATGGAATCTTATCGACCAAATCAATATCCATCTGATGACATGGAAGATCTACAAATGTCAGGTTGGGACACCTTGACATCATCAAGTGAACCATCCATCCCTCTTTGAACGGATCATTTACAGAAAAGACGCTGCTTGAATTGTAGCTCCAGTTTGTGATTTTGGGTTTATCAGCTCGGACGACGGTTAATGTAGGTTGGTTGCGGATCAGGCCCAAAATGAGGAGCGGTTTAATATCTTTGTATCGAAAGCGTAGGAACGTCATATTCGTAGACACTTTTGCAGCCATTTCATGAACCATCGTCCCGTTAGTGCTTCGCATGTCATAATCTTTTATATTCGGACTATATTTCCTGACTGTACTTCGAATGAGCTCCGAGTTGGTGTCATCCAGTTTTATGTCGAAGCCTCGGATGTCCCAGTATACCAGGTTCGGGAAATGTGCCAATAGAGGATCAAGCTTCCCCCTGTTGGAATCAGGCCAGAGCACACGAGTGAGTGACATAATAATGCTAGTGACGCCATTGTGCTGGAATATCTCTTCATTTCCTTCCGGGAATATTTTACAATCAACAACCTCTATTGACTTGAGATTGGGACATCTGGAAAGAATCTTGGAAAACGTGCCTCGAGTCATGTTAAGGCGCATTATCCGAAAGTCCTTAATGGCGGTGGTAGTAAAGTCGGTGACAGCTGTGGTTGAACCATCCTGAGAACTATCCTCGATCAGTGCTTCCTCTATTGCGAGCGTTTCTTTGCCAATCATATATTTATTGCTATCAAGCTCCAGTTTTATGAGCGTGCGCAGATTTCGTCGGATGAGCTCAAAAACATGCTTATTATAGCCGTTTCTTGGCTTTAAATTGATATGAAGCTGTCGCAGACAATTAACTCTCCCATCCCAGAGTAAGTTGAGCTGTGATCTTTTGGAAATGTCCATTGCTTTGCGGATATGATGTCCGTTTTTGGCCACAATTTGTGGATGCAGCTCTGAAAAACTTGATGAGGTTGCAAAATCGACGGTATGCCACAGACGAGATGTAAAGTTGGTACTCCAGGCTTTGGAGACTTGACTACATGCGACCATATCCTTTGTATTGAGGAGCTCACAGATCGCCTTCAGAATTGTTGGTTGAAGAATGAGTGTCGTTGCATCCGTCATTTTCCTTTTCTTTTCTTTTCTTTATTTTCTTTCCCTTTTTCCCTTTGTATAAGTAGAAATAAAAATATAAAAACAGGTAGGGAAAAGTAAATAGGTAAAGACAAAGTTCTTGGACAAATTATGTATTAAAAGCTGAGGTGTCAGGGAATGAAAGATAAAAGAGAAGAAAAGTGGTTTGTGAATTTATAATTTATAGATGCCAGTATGCATGTTACGTACCTCTGGGTCAAATGATGCAGACTAACAAACACAATGTGCATGGAATACTTTTGTCTCTACTTCGCCTTTTTTTCAGGGCGAATAGTCGCAATTGCATCGCCCCCACAAACACAAAAATTACTCGTACACACACACAATGAAATCTAACTCAGGGGCATCACAATCAATCAATAGTAGTCCGTCAGTAAGTGTTTGCCGAGAGGATATCTTGGCGGGTGAAGAGCAATTCGCTTGACAAAATGAAAACAATCATAGAGTGCTGGTATTGTTTGTATACACAGTGACCTCATTCATCAGATCTTTGCCTTGACCCACACTATATCACTTTAATAAGTCCAAGGAGAAATCGATGGCAATGCTGTGCCTTCCTACAGTGGCAATTCCATCATGGGCACACTCAGCAAACACGAATTCAAGGAACAGTGTTGAAGGGAGATCACATACCAAGACATTGCCCCCAATGCCATCGGAGGAATTTAAAGTTACGCGGCTTTGTTATAGTATTTTTTCTTGGGAAAAAAAAAAAAAAAAAAAAAAAAAAAGATGGAGATCTGGAGACTGAGGGCCGCAGCAATAATTTGTTGAGAAGGTGTCAGGACTGGACGAAAAATACAAATCCTTCTGCCATCCTGTGTAATTCAGCACAAGATGTAGGTGGTTTTTTTTTTTTTTTTTTTTTTAATTTCAAGTGAATAAAGGAGCTGCATCTGAGATCAATGAAGCTACAAAGATTGAATCAGCACATCGATCATGTCACTCTTTAATGCTTTTATCATCAGCAATGGCCCAAGATTGAATTCATTTAGTTCAGTTAGTACAGACTCTCAGTGTTTAAAAAGACTTGCGACTTGAATCCTTTATTACCCATCCGGTATCATGGCCAAGGAAATTCAAGGAAAACACTTTATTATTTCAAACTATCTATTTTTGATCAGGCCCTTCGTTGTACAACTGCACTGTTGCACTATTGCACTGTTGTATTAACCATTGAAGGTCGCTATGACCCGAAGGAAAACGCCCAAGAAACCTTGTTTTATATGCTGCTTCTCTCTTTTTTTTTTTTTTTTTTTTTTTGTATATCTTACTCCTTCTGTAGAAGGTCCACTTCCGCGATAAAACCATACACTAAAAGAAGTATCCACATTTATCATCTTTCAGTAACTTCTCCTTGCTGTGCACAGCGGTTGATTTGGTTATTGCATACTAAGATAGGCCAAGTACCAGATGCTTCGATTATAGCCAAAACAACAGAGTTAATGAAGCCAAAGAATGCTGTATGTGGGTTCCGTAGTCTGCAAATAAACGAAAACTAATCCTTCATCAAAAAGCCCTGGCGCAGTGGTGGGCAAGTGCACCGAGAATACAGAGTAGAGAGCTTACAGAAGAAAATAAAAAAAAAAAAAGTTGATCCCCTATATAGTTCATTACTGATTCTTTTTCTCGCAAGCTTGTAAGGGGATAAGATGAAAAGAAAAGAACGTGCTAAAAATATATTCCCCGATTTGGCGACACATTCCACCTTTTAGCCAATTTAATAAACTTAGAAGCGAAGGGCAGAGTAATGCATACATACAATATATATCCATTGGGAAATCGCACTCTTAGTTATAAGACACATTCTCGGCTGTATTTCAGCTTATAGCCAAGAGAGAAGGGAAGAGACATAAAGTGGCAGTTGGGGTGTAATTCGGAACCAAGTTGTTACCTTGGCCAGTAGACGTTTCCTTCATAGGTGGAAGAGAAGAGATCAAATGGCACTGGGACTAAACTGTATGTCACATATAATATAATCTCTACTTTCACAAATCCGTCAAGAGACTCGCGCATTATCTCTCTGCCCACCAAGGAACAGAAGCGAAGGGAAAGCATATGGAGGGAACATGAAAAACCAAAAAAAAAAAAAAAAAAAAAAAAAAAGTGTGGAAGTTCAATTCATCATTGTCGTTGTCTTTTTACCTGATGGTTGATGAGTGGCTACTGCTTACTGAGCTAACGTTACTTTATTATCGGTGTCGCTGTTGTTGTTTGCTGCTATTCTGTTTGTTACTGATGTCGCGGATGTTGTTGTGATCAAAGAGTTAAAAATACAAGTTTTTCGGTGACGCGATTAGGCCAGGATTGTGCTATTCTCCAGGAACAGCGCCACCAATTCTCTTCTTTTCAACGGAGTAACAACTTGAACAGATGCGAGAAAAACATTTTGCCATCCAACACCTTTGTCATCGAGAATAGTTAGAAAACATTTAGTACCCAATTTTTTTACTATCAATCAGCCTTTTTTTCCGATATCTCTCATCCTTTTGTTTTAATACTTTTAATATTGCTTTTGCTTCAACATGGCTACTGCAACCATGACAGCAACATTGTTTGATGGTAAAAATTGGTGGCGGCGAAAGTTCAAAAAAGTGTACCAAACAATTCTACCAGTTTCCTTGCTGGCAGTGTAATGGAAGGGTCAAGAGAATATACATTACCGGACCTCTTCTTATACGAACTTTTTTTTTATTTTTATTTTTATTTTTATCTTTTTGATACTTTCATGAATAATGTATTATTCCTGTTCATCTTTCAGACGATGTGTGTCCAGTATGTCAAACCGACCGATACCTGAATCCACAAATGAAACTCAAGGTTGGACCATGTTTTCACAAAATGTAAGTTTTTTTTTTTCTCTTCTTTCTTTCTTTCTTTCCTAATGTGCAACCACCGAGCTAGATATGAACGATGATATACAAAGTACTTTCCTTTACATTTAACAGAATGGGATGTGATTGTGATTGTGATTGTTATTTTATTATGTTACAAGGTGTGATAATTGCATAGATCGTCTTTTTGCACATGGTCCGGCACCTTGTCCAACTTGTCGTCAAACACTCAGGAGAGCAGCCTTTTCAGAGCAGACCTTTGAAGATCTAACAGTAGAAAAGGAGGTTCGCATCAGAAAACAAATGGCAACCAAGTATGTCCTCGGAAAGCATTTCACTGAGCGTGAAGAAAACGAACACCAAGGGGAAGACCCCAGAATCTGATCCGATCAATTGAGTTGAACGGTTATTTTTTCCACCTTTCTTAACCTAGGTTTAATAAGCGAAGAGAGGATTTCAAAACACTCAAGGATTATAATGATTACTTGGAAACAGTGGAAGATTTGAGTAATTTTTTTTTTTTTTTTTTTTTTTTCATGTAGTGGATGACATTTTTATTTATTTATATATTTATTTTTGTGATACTTATTATGAGATTTTGATCCCTGCTATTTTTTTCTTCTTTTCCTGTTAGCATTTAAACTGGTCAATGAGATTGATGTGGAAACAACAAAGGCAGCCATCGACAAATTTGCTGCTGAGAACCGTGACCTGATCAGAATCAATGCAGATCGCTTGGTAATATTCAAATGAATAGTAGTGATGAGATAGTACTCTTCATTGATTACTGGGTTGTGTCCCTACAGTGTACCTCGTGATGTTGATACCTAAAGACTTTATTTTGCCATTCGTGTTTTCTCTTTATTTAGCTTAATGAGACCCGTCTGGCAACTCAGTTAGCAGAGAAGCAGCGTCAATTGAAACAGATGAAGCGAGAGGAGTATTTGAGGCAATTACAGGCAGAAGAGGAGGCCAAGTCAGAGGATCGTAAAAACCTGATCCAGGAATTAGCAACGTCTGATAAATCAGCAAAGACGATCCTGGATTCACGAAAGCAGGCCATCTCCTTAAAGAAGACATCTATGCGCAAGACAGAAGTCAAGCCATCGTCGTCTTCGTCTAGCTCTTTTGGTACACCGTTGCTTTCAGATTCTTATTGGCGGATGCAACGAGACGATGATATGGATCGACACCATGACGACGAGGACGAGATGGGTGTGGAAGGAGCAGGAGCATTTGATCCAGTACAGTCACAGTACATGGATGTGGATTTAGGGGTTGGATATGTGAACAGTGTGAACAACAATAAGGCTCATGCAGGTGGATTGGTATATCCACTGTTGACATCGAGTATTGGAGTAAAGGATTTGTATGTGGAACCAGCGGGGATTGGGTCATTGAACGCGATGTCGAAAGCAGGTGGATATCGACTTGCTTTCGGATATGAACGTGCGATCCAAGATGCACATACTGCCCTTTTTGAAGCAGCTCTGTAGGAAAAAAAAAAAAAAAAAAAAAGGATTAAAAAAGACGCGTTCGTATTAAGGGTAATGTACATTGTTAGACATAGAAGGAATTGATTTTGCTTGATAATGATAATGCGAGTGGCTTTTTTATCTACGTACGTTATACAATGCACGTGCGAAGGAATGATGGATGGATGAGGAAAGGATGGAAGTAAGAGATTTCTCTGCTCTCTTTTCCTTTGCAATTGAAATTGATTTTTTGCAGTCGCTCCTTTATTTTATTTTTGCCTCTTTTCCTTTTCGAGACCCACCTTCCTTGTATGTAAGTACACCCAAACTGGGCCGACAATCGATTGCCGGAAAGGGAACATGCTTTACTTTATTTTTTTTTATTTTTTTTAATACGCTCATCAGCATTGGTTGCAATTCATAATTCACTTTACAAACTAAAGAAAAAAAAAAAAAAAAAAAAAAAAAAAGAGAGAAAACAAAACATTCAACACAATACAGTTTCATTTTGTAATTCATCATTCTCATCCTTTTTTCGCACACGCGTTGTTGATCCGACTTTTTTTTTTTTTTTCTTTTTCTTTTTTACTTTTTTTCTTTTCCTTTTTCTTTTTCTATTCTTAATTCTTGAACATCCTGGACAATCTACAGTTTATACAAAAAAAAAAAAAAAAAAAAAAAAAAAAGAGGATGACTCCTAAATCACTTGGTAAAGTGATCGCATGGTACTGGTTGTTTAGTGTTTACAAGTTGGCAAAGATCCAAGATGGGTGAATTGAGTAATGTACGAACAGAGGCACAATCTAGCAACTCTTTGCCTTCAGATGGAGATGGTGTAAACAGAGTCATTGTCATTAGTGATAGTAAAGCGTAGCAGTAATTAGCTATATATATATATTTATTGTGTGTTATGAATCATCTCTCAATGACACAGAAGCGTTATGTCAATTGTCAATTGTCAATTGTCAATTATCAATAATAAGAGTATAAGAAAAAGGGTCAACATTAGAATGTTGAAAACAAAACAAAGCAGAAAAAGTATTGTTCAACAGACTTCCCGTTGGTTGTATTGACTGACACGACAATGATCTGCCGTCTTTATTATTATTATTGTTGTTTTATTTTTCGTCCACATCACCTTCTTTTCTCTGCAACCTTCTTGAACATGTTTCTTTTCTTCAGTTTTCAAAAGGGATCGATGGTTGGATGGGAGGATACGTGAGGCTTTTTTTTTTTTTTTTTTTTTGCAAAGGATAGGCGTAAAGGAAGAATTTTGTAATGATCCCTGTATGGGAAAAAGATGACATAGTGTTACAGGAAAAAAGAACAATCTGGTTTGGAAAAAAAAAAAAAAGAAAAGAAAAACGAGAGCATGCATGCAAGTTATAAAGTTGATACTTGAAAAGGAATACAACTCTTTTCCGTTATTCCTTTGCTTCCAACTGTCATGAAGGATTTTTTTTTTACTTAATTTTTTTTTTTTTTATTATGAGGAGTGGTTCCCAGAGATGACCATCCGGTGTAGCCTTAGTGCCAGATGTGCCTGATCTGCTTCGTCTTAAAGTAAAAGAAGAAGGAAGGAAAAAGAAGAAGAAGCAATTAGAACAAGTAGAAGAAACAGAAGAAAGAGCCCACATTATTATGACTGTGGAGCACAATCTGATCATTTCAAAGACTCGGGACTTTTATTACTTAAATTAATACAACTTTCAGCAATGACCACCATTTATTTATTTATTTTCAATTACGAAACAGCTTTGTGAAACTGACTTTTTTTTTATTTTTTATTTTTTAATTATTTTTATTCTTTTTTCCTCTTTTTTACTTCTCTTTCTTTTATTCTTTTTATTTTCTCTTTCCCTGTCGATCCATTGATTACTTTATATGATAAAACACCTAAAGCAAGGTTTTCCTTCACTAAAAAGACACTCGTTTTTGACTATACTAACATCAAGAAGAAAACAAAAAATAAAAAATAACGTAATAGATACAAGAGCAATTTAAAATTCTGATTCAACAAAAAAAAAAAAAAATGAGTTCCACAAAACGACAAGCCGCAGCTATGGGATCTGCAACTGATGATCAGGACCATAATAACCCTGAGGGAGGCAGTGGAGCTGGCGATGATCACCTCGACAAAAAATTTAAGCAGGTCCATGGGGATGGAGATGAAGACGATGACGACGATGATGATGAGGAGGCTCCCAAGAGTGGCAAGCGTGCTGGAAGAAGAAAGATCAAGATTGAGTATATCGAAGACAAAAGTCGACGCCATATCACCTTCTCAAAACGCAAGTCTGGAATCATGAAGAAGGTATTAAAAAGAAAAGTTCCCCTCCTTACCTCTGGACCTTCTTTCTTCCTTCCTTCCCTCATTCCATTCATTCATTAATCATCTCTGATGGATATTGTTTTTTTTTTTATATATATGCACTGTTGCTTCTGCTGTTAACTGACAATGAAGTCACTTTGTCGTTCCTAATTTATTTTCAGGCATATGAACTTAGTACCCTCACAGGAACTCAAGTCTTGTTGTTGGTTGTTTCAGAGACAGGGCTCGTCTACACGTTCACGACACCTAAATTGCAACCTTTGGTCACTAAACCTGAAGGCAAAAACCTCATTCAAGCCTGTCTGCATGCTCCTGACAAGGAACCTACTCCTGTAAGTCCTTATTATTTATTACTATTCATTATTATTTACTATTATTATTATTATTTTTCCTTGTCTGTCATTTGATCTGGATGTATTTAATTTCAATTTCAATTTCAATATCAATTTGTTCATTACGGAGCAATTATAATTTAACCCCAAGCCTCTGTTTATTTAATTGCGATTTTATTTTATTTATTTATTTATTTATTTTTTTATTTTTTTTTAAATATCAGGATCGGTATACCGCACCTGAGCAAGAATCCTCTCCTGCAGCAGGATCAGAACATGACCGCGAAGAAGAACCATCGTCTCCGCAGCAGCCCTCTCCACAACAACCACCTACACAACCACCACCACAACAAGGTCAACAACCACCTTATCCCAACTCTTCTTCTGCAGCAATGGGAATGTACCCTCCACCTTATAGCCATATCCCTTTCCCAAATCAGGCCTCTGGAGGTCCATACAACTATCCCAACATGGGTTATCAGAACGCACCCAATCCCAATGGCCCTCCCCCACCTGGTTCACAGCAATACTGGGGTCAACAACAAGCTGGAGCCCCCCCATCCAATTCTGTACCTCCATCAAAAGGTGGGCGAGGAGACAAGTAAAAAAAAAAAAAAAAAAAAAAAAAAATAATAAAGGCAAACGAAAAGAAGAGGAAAGAAAAAAAAAAAAAAAAAAAAAAAAAATTCCATATTCATCCAAAGGAAACACGTCTAGTTTGAGGGCAGAAGAAGCCAACATTTTTTTTTTTTTTTTTTTTTTTTTTATTACTTTCCGCACCCCAAAAGTGCATCAAACAATAATAAAGGAAGAAAGAAATAAAAACTTTGTACGTTACAGAAAAATGTTTTTTTATTTTTTTTTTATTTTACTATTTGTCTATTCATGACAGCTTCCTTTTTTTTTTTTTTTTTTAAAAAAATTCTAGTAATGATGATAGTAAGTGATAAATTATTTTTTTTTCTTTTTAATGCCTTGTTCCAGAATCAACAGTAAACATTCGGGGTGCAATGGACATGGCCATAAGTTCTTGAACCAAGAGTTTCATTGCATAGGGGATATGGATCTGTGAAATCTGGGTCGTGTTCTTGCAGGACCGGCATTCAAAACTGTTCTTCGATAGCGATGCAATCGCCATTAGACCACATAAATCGCACACATGCACTCTGTATGCGTCCGACGCATCAAACAGACGCTCCTTCAAAAACTGGGCAACTCCGTGGGAGATCATACTAGAAAAATAAAATAAAATAAAATAAAAAAGGACAAGAGATCATTAATATAAACATTAGCTTAAACAAACAATCGTCTTCCTGCGCCGATTTGAAGGAAGGAAATATTATACAAAAAAAAAAAAAAAAAAAAAAGAAAGAGAAAGAGAGACACTACATACCAATCACGCTCCATCTCTCCGAAACGAAGACCTCCATCACGACTCCTTCCTTCGACTGGTTGACGTGTCAAGATCTGGACAGGCCCACGTGCACGAGAGTGAATCTTGTCATCCACCATGTGTTTCAAACGCTGGTAATATGTGGGTCCCAAAAAGACTTGTGCTGTCAGCTTACGTCCTGTGTGTCCATTATACATCACCTCAAATCCACGCTGCTGGTAATTATGTTTCCGAAGTGCTTCCGAAATTGCTTCTACAGTCACATCCGTAAATGGTGTTGCATCTCCCTCACTTCCCTCTAACGTCGAGACCTTCGACAACAGACATTCAACCAAATGTCCAATCGTCATACGTGAAGGAATGGCATGTGGGTTGATGATGATATCAGGTGTAATACCCTCTGCTGTAAAAGGCATGTCCTCCTGACGATAAGTGATACCAATGGTACCTTTTTGACCGTGACGGGATGCAAATTTGTCACCCATCTGAGGCACACGAGTCGAGCGAACACGGACCTTGACAAATTTAACACCTTCATGATTGGTCGTCAACATCACCTGATCCACAATACCCGTCTCCGTGCTTTTCAGTGGTGTCGATGCATCCAATTTGGAGTGGGATCCCGTGCGCTGACCTAATTCAGTCGATTCCTCTGGAATAGGCTTTGTCTTTCCAATGATAATGTCATCACCAGAGACTCTGGTTCCAGGCGCAATCAATCCATCGTCATCCAGCTTTTCGTACGTTCCATGTCGCAAACGTAATACATGCTCGCGTGTGGGCTTCTCAAACTCCTCCATCACAGTCATACCAATCTTCTTCTCTTGATCCATATATGTGCGGAAGTACAAACTGCGGAACAATCCACGATCAATGGACGACTGGTTCATAATGACCGAATCTTCTTGATTGTATCCTGAATAGCATAAAATCGCCACTATTGCATTTTGACCTGCAGGCAATTCACGGAATCGTAGATACTCCATTGAACGCGTCGTCGCCAATGGCTTTTGAGGATAGTACAAAATGTTGGCTAACGTATCCATACGTACTTGGTAATTTGTCACATAGATACCCATAGCTTGTTTACCCATAGCAGATTGGTAAGTATTACGAGGAGACTATATGTTACATTAGCAGGGAATATAACAAAAGATAAAACATGGTTAAGGTCATGAATAAAATTAGAAGATGGCCTGATTAAGCTTTGGAATAAATAAATAAATAAACTGCGCGGCGTCAAACATTACCTGATTATGATCAGGGAAGGGAATAATACTGGCACAAATTCCCAAAATCATACTAGGATGAATCTCACAGTGAGTCCATGTATGTAGTGAGACTGAAGAAGCTCCTTTGAGTCTTCCTGAAGCATCTCGGGGTTGTTGCACACGGTGGATCTGTCGTGACTCTGCCAGATCTTCGGGTGTCATGCAGATCAAAATCGTCTCTTCTTCTTCAGCATCCACATATTCTACAAGGCCATTAGCCAACAAATCGTTCCATCCCCATGGTTCCTATACATTCCAATAAACAAAGTAATGAATATAAAGAATAAATAATAGTAAATAAATAAATTAGCACCTTACACCACAATATAATCATATGCAATAAAAGTGAGCTTCACTTACCACTGTCTTGCCCTCCTCGTTAATATACATGGGCTGGGAGAGCTCATCAACATGCTCCTTCCTCAGCAAAAGCTTCTGGTCCTCAACAATAAAGAGTGGCCTTAAGCATCGTCCCGCATCTGTGTACATCCTCAACTCCTTCTCACGAATATCCTTGACAATTGACACCTCAGGATTGATATCCAAGTTTCTACGCAGTCGCTTCAACGTGCTGACAAGACTGCTTGGATCACGATGAACACCTGCCCAGACTCCGTTGACAAAGACCTTGGTTGCATCCAAGATGTTATTAGCTGTCAACTCCTCCAAATTTTCCATACCCCACTCTTCCAAGAACTCAATGATGGGTGCAGAGGGTGAACCAACAGAGATCGTAGTCATCAAGGCCAAATTTTTAACCAAACCACAAGCCTGTCCCTCAGGTGTTTCAGCTGGGCAGACCATACCCCAATGTGTATTGTGCAACTGACGAGGCTTTGCAATTTTTCCATCGCGTCCAATAGGAGTATTGCAACGACGCAAGTGGGAGAGTGTTGAGGCAAATGTGTATCTATTCAAGACTTGTGACACACCAGCTCTTGACTGCATGGCCTTCATCTGCTCACCCCAGTTTCCTGTTGCGAGCGAGTATTTAAGTCCGTTCGTGATTGTGTTCGACTTGACGGCCACTGATAAAACAAAGTCCTTGTTACTATCAATACACTTAAAAAAAAAAAAAAAGGGGGGGGGGAGGAGAAGTGAATAAGAGTGTAATCTCACGCATAAAAAGGAATCTTTTCCGCTAGAGGCAGCATAGATAAAGAGTATACCTTCCGCAAGTATTTGCTAACGTCCTTAGTAAGCTTCAAAAACAGGATCTTGAACAGTCCTCCCAACAAGGGTCCTGCAAGATCCATACGTTTCTTTCCATAGTGATCACGATCATCAACGTCACGGCGGCTGAGAGCCGCCAACAGCAAACGATGAATCATGTATCCAAAGAAATAAGCTTTTCTGGTCTGATTGTGCGACTGTGTGCCGACATGAGGTAAGAATTCCTTCTGTAGAATCTCAGAAGCATACTTCGTACGTTTATCTTTAGTGGCACCCACAGTGGTTCCACGTTTACCAATATAATCGAGAGCAACTTCTTTATCCTGAATGACGAAGGCCTGCTCAATACAGGGTTTCAACATCTCTAACATCTGGTAATCGTTGCGGTCGTAACAGATGTGTTCTAAAACATCACGATCTGCAACAAGTCCGAGAGCTCGGAAGACAACAACGACAGGAATACCATCCCTAATATAAGGGAGAGTGGCCTCAATTGTCTGCCCTGTTCCTGCACGTTCAGCGGAACGTGCCAGAAGCTTCACAAAACATGGTGACGCATTCTTGGATCCACGTTCCACAGAACTCCTAATCTCTGCTGTATATGAGTATTTGTTCCCGAGAGGTTTGCTGAAAACATAGACAGTGTTTGTGGCCATGCGTTCCTGAGCAATCAAAACCTTTTCTGAGCCGTTGATGACAAAGTAACCACCCTATTATATGAAGTAATGAAATTAGTTTTTTTTTTTTTTTTTTTTTTTTTTTTGATAATGAAGCAGATAACCTATGCCAACTGATGGTATAGACAAATCTCTATAAATTTCTCTACTTCTTTATACCTGATCATATTGACATTCGTTCATCTTTTGTAACTCGTTGTCATCCAACCCAGTCAGCATGCAATAGGTCGACTTGAGCATAATAGGGACCATTCCAATGAAAATTTTGTTCATATCGCCTCCATCACCATTATCTTCCTCTTCCATGAACATGTCATGAGGATTTGTCTTGCCCTTGTTCTTTTCATGATGGGGATTGGCGACCTTTACTGTTTTGCGCATATCAACATACAATGGAGCGGCATAGCTGACATAAAAAAAAATGCACAAAAAAAAATTGTTAAAAATTGGGTTGATACCTTTTTTTTTCAATAGTTGCATAAAAGTTGATACCAACAACTACTACTTACGTCAAACTACGAAGTCGGGCTTCATGGGGATACATGGGTTGCGTTGAACCATCCGACTCGGTCATACTTGGGCGAGACAAGTAAATCTGACCGAAATTGATCTCATATCGTTTCTATTTTAACAATATGAAAAATAAGAAAAATAAAAAACGTCGTCAATCCCTGTAGGAACAATAAATATTAACAGACTTTTTCAGTCGAAACTCAAATATAATTAATGAATCAAACCTACAGTAACATCGCCTTCAGCACCTGAGTGCTGGCTAGTAGTTTGCAGGATCAGATTTGAATTCTCATCAACTAGTTCCTGCATAGTATTCTGGATAAATTCATCAAATGAATCCAATTGCTGTCGGACCAATCCCTTATCCTCAAAAAAGGAAGAAATGACAGCCCAGCAGTCCTCTTGTGTAATGGTCTCTTCTTCCTCATCCAAGTAGTACTCTGTTATTTTAATGGTGAAATATAATTCATTAATAAAAACCACTTTATGACTGTGGGATCGCTCTTGATAATTCATAGATGTCATCCACCATTTGAATTACAACAAATGCAGATTGCCATTAATACCTTGTTCATCCATGTTGAAGGTCGTGGTAATAAGTTGCTATTAGATCTGCCTGTTTGTGTTGGCTGTAACCAAGTTTCAAAAGTCTTCTATGGTCAGACTATTTATTTTTGGAGGCGCCTACGTAGACGAATCGCGATGATTATGGATGAAGTGAATGAGCACTCACAAATGTGATGAAGCCGAAAGGAATAAGAGGATTCTTCGTCTGTCCTTTTTCCTTTTTTTTTTTTTTTTTTTTTTTTTCTTCGTTTCTCCTTTTCGAAGGAACCCACAAAATGAAAGAAAAGAAAAAAGAGATGGTAAAGATCTTTTTTGTCAAACGAAATTCATCCTCTCCTTTTATATGTATGCTTTACAACCAGTTCTCAGCCACCACCACTCCCTGAAACTGCTGCGCGATCAGTTGATTGGACGACGTCACATGATGAGGATAGTCTCCACAAATCTCAAATATCCCTTCGTCCGTAATTGTCTTGAATTTTATTTCGACGTCGAAATAAATGACCGAAAACTAAACTGTAATGGAGCTATCCTGGCTCCTCTATTTGTGCAAATAAAAAAACTCATGAAGACTTTCGCATGACCCTAGCATCTCCCTAGGAGCCCATTGTATCGTTTATTTATTGACTGGTGTAATAGCAATGATAATATTCACCGCCGTAATATCGACTTGAAAGGAGGACAATCTGAGTTGATTCATTCTACCGCACCATGGAGCTTGACTGACTTGGTCTTTTCCTGTACAGCTCGGCGAGACTTGATTTGTCACATCGTTTGCTTCCTTGTCTTCTTGCGTTCCCTTGATATATCTGGATTGGTAAGCACTGCTAATAGAGTTTGTTGGGCATGTTGAAACCAGAGGGAACCACACCAACATATCATACTCAAAGTGATACATGTCTATGTTGGAGTGAATGGTGAAATGCCTGTGTGTGATTCAGATGTAATAGACATTTACGGCGAAAGAAAGTATTGAGAGGATGTGAGTGATTATGAGAGCAAGGAAGAAGGGGTTTGTATCCCTTTTCAAGTCCTTGGCAACGGAGCATGAGTAGCAGTTGTGAGCACAAGTTGATTTCGGTGAGTCCGCATAACAATGGTCATAGTGTCAAGGCCCCATCCTCCATGCACGGTATTGCATTATTGTTGTTTTCAGACCTGGCACCAACCATGCGAGGTTTTTTTTTTTTTTTTTTTTTTTTTTCTTCTGGGAGTTCCTTGTGTTAAACGGTCAACGGTGGAAAAAAAATGTATGTGAACAAACAGCTGTTGTGCTTCTTTGTTGTCTGCACATGCCTTCTTGCATCGCGGGTTTTTTCGTCAATTACTGTCAGTTGTGTGTACAGGCTATTGAATAAACAGCTGAAGTGTCTCTTTGATTCCTACATATGTAGAAACACATTTTGCATCGCGGCGTTTTTTTTGTTTTTGTTTTCTAGGCACTTCCAAAACACAAGCGTCTTCCAATGGAGCCTCTAGAAGAAATAACAAACTTTATTTGGCGGCCACTCCACAATCATGCCATGGTTATAACAATCCCTAGGAAAGAAACTCAAACGCGTCGGTATTAATCTCGCTTCTGCTCTCCCTCCATCCGCAAGGCGCTGCACAATATCACCATTAACAAAGCACTGTCCAGTAAGGAAGGGTGCTTAGATAGCTTTTACTCCAAGCAATAGGCGCATACAACTACATCACTCCTATCTCCGCCATTGATGCCGGAACCTGAGTGCCAACGAATATCTCTGCTTTAGCGCAATAGTACTGGAGCTGTTGGAGCAAAGAGCGACATCTGAACCCATTCTCTGATAAAAAAAAGACTTTTTTTTCTCTTGTTATTACCTTTGAGAAGGATGTAATCACCTGTTTCAAACCCAGTTCCTACACACTGAGTCAAATCTGTCAATGTATTTACTACCCTGTTCAAAATTATAACACTGTATGCAGTATACGGAAATGATTTTTTCGAATGCTTACTTTGGTATCTCAATGCTATTGTTTCCAATCTTCCGTTCATGTGAGAGCTTGTATTTATCTGTCGGTCTCTGCTAATGACTTGGACAAAACCCCAATTTGAACAAAGGGAACTGAATAAAGATTGATAAAATTCATCATCAATCCAGGATATAAAAAGGGATCATTGTCTTCATCCTTTTCCGCTCGCTCACTCCAAAGTCCCATCCCTTTTACCACTGCCACTTGTTCCTGTATCTTTTCCTCAATATTTTCTGCCTGAACCTTTTATTCTTTATCTATTCACTTTGGAACTTTAAACCATAAAAAAGCCCATCCATTTATACCTTTGTCGGTCTTTTTTTTCTTTTTCATATCTTTTCATCCAAGTCGCGGTGCTTGCCTCCTGGTATAGTGCTTAGCTTCCAAGACTTTTTGCACCCATTCTGGATACTTAATCTTTATCCCAAGCTGTGTTAAGTTCCAATGAGCTTCTCTCCTTCTGGTGAGTATGTCTCCTGCCTTGGGGGCAGTAGGGGCTGCGGAAGTAATGACAGGGGTAATAGTTGTGATAGGTGGGATGACGGAGGTAGTGGGTTTGGTAGGGGGAGTAGTGCAGGCCTATCCACTGCTGGACGTCGAAGGACGGGGAGTAACTTCCTCGAATGCTTGCCAGAGGCAACCACCATTGTAAAATTGTGACAAAGTCGGCAACGAGGCCCTTCTGTAGTATGCCTACTAAGGCCTCCTGGTATTGATTGCATTCTATATAATGCAACCATGCGATGCTCGCAAGTAATGTTAGCTGTGCACGCAGTTTTTCGATTTTGCTGGGTATAATATAATATGCTTACTCTGCATCCCATTGAAGTGAGCAAAATGGGGGAAAAGATATTCGCGGCCCTCGTCTCGGTGGAGGGTATGAAGTGAAGAAATACCATTTTTTTTTTTCGATTGTGAAATGGGTAATGACAGGGTCGTGGATGTGTGCATCCGAAGTATGTATTGGTCTTGTGTGACATGAGAAGAATGTGCACTTGAGCTTGGCATGATTTATTGTTGGAAGAAATGAGTGAGAATGTTCAAAAAAGACTAAGGAAGACAAAGAAATACTCTAGAGCACTTTGAAGCTGCGCGTCTACTGTGGTTTGCTGTACATGAAAAAAAAGGGGGCACCTGTCGACATGCACTTCTTCAAATATAAGCTTCTCAATCGTGGTTGGATTAAAATAAAGGAATCTTACTTTGATACTATCTGAGCTTGTTCCCTGAGCGTGCTCAAATAATCTCTTAACCCCGCACAGGGATGATGAAGCAGTTGTTGCTTGTAGCCCCTTTTTCAAAGAAACAGGTGCACTAACTACTTACTGGCCAACCACTCGTCCGCGATATTATACTAAAATCGCATTTTTTTTTTTTAAAGCTTTCGTTTACCTCATACCAAATCAACCAGTTTTACCTTCAGTGTATTAACTATTTTAGAGAACAAACGCGACTCAAAAACTTCACCGAGTGTGACTGCCAAACGCGTTCTTTTAATTTACGAGCGCGTTTTATTTGTTTTGATGTTGAATAGCATAAACTCATGCAGATAAAGAGGCATCGCATCTATTTCATTCCATCCCATTTCCCATGGCTCTTTTCTTTTCCTACTCGGTCTAACCATAACAATCGGCAAAAAAAAAAAAAAAAAGAAGATATAAGCGAAGTGAAACTTTCACGCACCCGACTCCTCCTTGACGCCAAATCATATATGCCAACCCTTATAGATATGTCCCAGGCGCAAGTCCCCAACATGAGTATGCTGGTTGATATGGGCCTTTCTAGACCCATTCCCGTCAAGGCTGCTTTGCGAATGATTCGTGCAGCCATCAAGACATTGCTGTACATGCGTGGACAAATGAGCAGGTAAGGTGATTTGAAAATAAAACGATACAATAGACAAAAACACATAAAGGTATAGATATCCCGTATATTCATTCTCTTTCCTTTCTAATCCACCCATAAGCCCTTGGGAGCAGCTCGAGCAATTGGTATGCAATCATCATTCAAACCCATCATTTTCTAAAAAAAAAAAAAAAAGCAGAATGAAAAAAAGACATTTTCTGATTTTTCCTTTTAAAATCTTGATACCCATTAATGCGTTTCAAGCTAAAGCTTGAAATAGCCCGTCAAGCGCAGGAGCAGGGGCAGGAGCAAAAACAAGGACTGGTGCATGGACAAGAGCAAGGGCAAGGGCAAAGGCAGGAACATTATCGCCACCAGCCTCCGATACAATCCCTTCAAGAGTTTCTTGAAACAGCTGAATCCATGTTTGTTGATCTGGAAGGATCTATTTATGCCCAGCTCTTTTCCCGCCTTCAACAGCAGCAAAAACAATCATCATTACACTATATACAGCCTCAAACTTCCTTCCCTAATGCGAATTCAGGTTCTATCAACGCTCAACAAACAACAACGTCTGTACCTTTGACTATGGCGCAGGCAAGGTCACCACCCGGCAACAGTAATGACCTTTATATATCATTGGCTGTTGTCTTCGGAAACACGTTAACTGTCCCAAAAGAGCAATACATGATCCGTATTGGGCCATTGGAACCACAACAGGCTTTGTTACTATCTACTCCTCCAATTACTGTTTATGATCCTATTGCTACCACCACCACCACCACAAATAATTTTGTCCACAACTTGCATAACAATGATCGGATACCTCTTTCGAACCTCAGTGACTATCATCGGATTTATCACGGCTACTCTAACATGCACTTAGATGATAAAGGTCATGAGTATCATCCTCGCTATCACCAGCATCGCCACCGCCAGCAGCAGCAGGAGCAAGAGCAGAAGCAGAAGCAAAAGCAAACACGCGAAGAAAAAGCATGGGAAAGAAAGCTGCTTCATCAAATCATTGGTATGACCTCAGTAGTCGCAGATACAGATTCAAAAACAGGAAATGAACTTTCTAACGGCGGCAGTCGAGGATATCAAGAACAACCAAATCAGTTATCCCCATCGCTCCCATCTCGAGCAAAAGTTCATCTACTCTTGAAGGCTCCCTCTGCATTAACATTCCAGGGATTATTTCCGAAGCAGATGATTGTTCTCCCAGAGGATTTTTCAGTCAGTGAAGCCCAACGGGCATCAAAGTCGACATCGTCGTTAGTAGCAGATAATAGAAGCAGAAATAGCAACAGAAAAAAGCGCTGGCCAGTTCATCATCTTCATATTTTTGGGCCATCCACATCAGCATCAGAATCAGGGGGGTCAGCATCCGCCGAACTGCCCGAAATTTGGTATGAAGTTGGCTCTGGCATCCCGCCACTATCGCCCCTTCTCTGAAATGAAATACCCGAGGCATTTTAAAATAGATAAGCCTTTGCTCCTTTCATATTGAACGAAAAACTCTAAACTGTACACTGGCGTCCCATGGTCAGATCCATTTTTTTTATTTATTTTTATTTTTTATAATCTTTGCAAGAGTAATGGAGTATATGAACTAGTTATGAAAATGGAGGAAAACAGTGATATTTTGGTTGACATGGAAATGGAATCAAAGGACAACATCAAGGCACTCTACAGATTGCACCGCGTGTTCGTTTTTTAAACCCAGGGCTTGATGTGTTAATTCATAACACAACTTGAGATGATGATATGACTCTTAAGAGGAAGCATACTAGCGAAGCAGAGAAAAAAGTAGAGGCAGAGGGCGCAACATGGTCATCAATTATGTTAGTGACCTGGAGCAACAGCATTTCCGATAAATATAGTTGATAGGATGTATATATGACCTCTGCTTACCCTCTTGGTATAATCTTTGGCTGTTTTCTGGAACTTTGCTTGATCTGTGACATAGATCTCAGCAATATCAGTCATCAATGGGTCTTCGGGGTTAGGTTGCTCTAAAAGAGTGACGAGTGCACGGAGGACTAGAGAATCCAAAATCAAGTCAGTATTTTCTAGCAGTGCATGTCACTTATTGGTCGCTCCCTATTTGCCTTTTTATTTTTTATTTTTTATTTTTATTTTTTTATTTTTTTTATTTTTTTTTTTTTTTTAAAAAAAACAAGATAAAATAATAAATACACATACCTTGGTTAACGCGTGTTGCTGGCTTCCATTGATCATTCTTTAACAAAGCAACACAGATAGCGCCTTCCTCATCAATGTTGGGATGATAGATCTTGGTAGTGAACTTGACCTAGATAGGATTGATAAAGTCGATTTAATTTGAATTTGAAATCGAAAGAAAAAAAAAAAAAAAAAAAAAAAAGCTGGTGAGCTAGAAAGCTGTGAGAGCCCAAGTTACCTTTGGAGGCTTGAAAGGATAATCAGTGTTGAACTGGATATCGATTTTAAAGATTCCACCTTTGTATGGCGAGTTGCTCTAAAGGAGTAAAAAAGAAGTATGTAACAGGTAAGAGTCTATTTGCTTTGTGAACAAAAAAAAAAAAAAAAAAAAAAGAGCACAGCCCAGTTTATCATATTGCAAAACTTACAGGTCCAAGAATATGACCTAAAATGATGAAGTAAAGAAGACATTGACGATTTTTCCAATTCGTTAGTTACTGAGTAGCAAATCTTCAAAGAGGAGGCGTACCAAATAAAAATAAGGTCCAGATTCTTTTCGACTGTGCCACCACGCGCCCCCATCGGGGCTGTTTTGTAATCTGCTCGCTATAAGAATTTTTAAGGGATTTCTTCCTTGCAATGTCCCCCCCAAAAAAGAAAAAGTATATAAATATTCCTATGAAGGAACCACAAACTCTTTCCCAGCGAGCGATAATTCTGCCTAGGTATCCAAGCTTCATGTTCCAAATAGTATACGACCTTTTGAATATCCATGTCGACACGACCCATTCCCTGGGATGCCACATAAATAATAATTGTGGCATATTCCTTGATCATTTTTTTTTTTTTTTACTTATTTCTGAATCGCAGACACCACCCGGGTGAAAATTGTCTCAAATAGTGGGGAGAGGGGGATGCTTACCTTTCCAGTGAAGGATATTGCTATCATCACTTGGTCCCACACTGACGTTCTCGAGGGGGTTCCTGTTGAGGTCAGTAAGTTCCTGAGATTATGAATAAGAATAATGAACATAGCGACGATGTAAGGTTGATTAATCATTTGCAACATTATTATCTGTAATAGTTACATGTTTTTACTACTTTTATTCTTCTTTAGTGATCCAAGCAAGAAGTAGTATAGCATTTTATTAGCAATGTCAGTGAAAAGACATGGAACTTACAGCTTGAAGTCTTCGCAGAGCCATGGTGAAAAATAGGTTATTTAAGAAAAAGTTGTTTGTAAAGGAATGAGAATATAGGATTGAAAAAAATAAAAATAAAAAAAAAAATAAGAAGAGAAAGGATGAGGGGAGTGATGAAAGAATGAAATGAATGAAGAATCTTTATTCTTCTTTCAGCCTAATTTTTTTTTTTTTGCCCACCCGCCACCGCCACCGCGATGACTTCATGCTAGGCCTGCCGCAGTGGAGTGCTCAATCAAGCAGAGCAGGGCTGAGAAAAAAAGGTATTTCTGGCACAACGCATTCTGCAGCGCATTAATGTTTATACATGCATGTGACTTAAAAAAAAAAATCGCCTTTCTTGATCGCGTATGCAAGTTTGTCTCTCCCGCTTTTCTGGACGTCCTTCGCATAATCATATTGTCACAAAATATATTTGTATCTCGCTGTTAATTTTTTTTTCTTTCTTTCTTTCTTGGCTTCTCCCACACATTCCTTCTCCTCTTGATTTATCTATTCATCATGTCTACAGCCATATCTACCTTTTTCAATCAGCCAGCAGCACTTTTCACAACAAAGTCTTTGACCATCACATCAATCGGCCTATTCGCTGGTGTCGCACTCTCTTTCAATGCTATTATCATGCCATCCCTGCGCAGGGTGCCTAACACAACAGCACTTCCAATCTGGGCGAACGCTTATCATATTGGCAAAAGTTAGTATTTTTTTTTTCTTTTTTCTTTTTTCTTTTTACTTTTCCTTAACCATTATTCTTTTGTTCATGGTTTCACTGATTTTTTTTTTTTTTTTTTTTTTCAGATCTCCAGGTCGGATTAATCATGACCTCATTGGCAACAGGCAGCATCGTATACTACAAAACTGAGAACCCATACTTTATCGTAGCATCCATGACCATGACCTCCATCATCCCTTATACGATTGCATTCATTGCACCTATCAACAGAACCTTATTTGCGGTCTTGGACACTCACGATTATGACCTTCAAAAAGGACAAAAAAGTGGCCAAACTGTCGTTGCTCGTGATACTGATTTTGAATTGGATCAACTGTTCATCAAATGGGATCTCCTTCACTTCGGGAGAACTGTTCTCAGCTTTGTTGCCTTGGCTGTGGCCCTATATGGAAGTTTCTCTTCTAAGGCCATCTCATCAAAATAAAAAAGACCAAGTCAACCTCAATAAAACAAAAAATCTGAATCCTTTCCATCTTTTTTTTTTTTTTTTTTTTACAAATTTCATTTAAATTATTATTATTTTTTTTTATCCTGCCATGCTAAGTATCCTGAGCGACTTTTGTAGATCCGAATCGTACACCAATACATTTGCAGTTCGGGACGTGCTCATACACAACAAGTTCACATCTTGGTCCACCAATGGGTTAGACATCGAGTATACCAACCCAAACGTATCTAACCCAAATCTTGACAAGTCCACTTGAATACATCGGAGCATGGTCTCAGATGAACTCTTATTGAGCATATGGTCTTCAAATTGGCTTAAAACTTCCTGACCCTATTCATCCATCATTGAACCATATATTATAAGTAATGTATGTTCTGTTTTTTTTTTAAAAAAAAAATTAAAAAAATAAAAATAAAAGTGCCTTAACATATTTTTTAAGGCTTCAAGCACATACTGCGATAAGTGAGGCTCCTTCGTCAGTTGTCGTGAATGAGATGAACCTTGATTTTGGAGCACTGTTCATAGTGGTTTCGATACAAACAGTACATGTCAGATATATATGCTATTAGAGCAATGTAGTAACAGGCGCTACAAACGCCCATGTTAGGTAAGTAGTGCTTTTTCTTGCCTTGAAAGTCCTGGCAGTTCTTCTGGGTAAAAGAACACTTTCAACAACGTCACCGCCCATTCCGACTGGTAGTCACTAATAATAACATAAAAAAAATAAAAAATAAAATAAAATAGCACAGTTTAATGTCTCATTTTTGATTAAAAACTTGTAAGATCTTACATAAATATTTTTTTAAAAAAAAAAATATCATACAGCGAAAGCCCCGCCATGATCAACTTGTCATCAGTAACAGATCTCGGACAGGATTTCCGAATCTGTTCCTTAATCTTGGCTTCTCGTTCCTCCTGCTCTTCAAGTGTCTCTTGCATAAGGCCCAAAGAAGGAAATGATCCAAAGCTAGGGAAGCTGTTGTTGATCGGCGTTAAGAGTGGGAACATGATGTTATCGTTCGCGGATACAGACCTTGTACCCACATTTGGTGTTGCTTGATTCGGTATACTATCAAGACTGTCATACGAAGAAGGTCCATGATGGTGATGTCGCTTTGGAAAATATCGTCCAATGCCCTCACCGAACGATGATTCTGCAATTGAGTTCTGTCGCCCACGCTGTTGATGTTCTCTATTGCTATATTGCTGGTTATGGTGGTGATGAGTGAAACTAGACTGGCTATAACTGTCGGACATTACGCCATATCCATTGCCTATAGTCCCGCTACCGCCACTACTTTTCCCTCCCTTTCCTGCCCCTGATTCGGTCCCATTAAGCCCATCCAGAGAGGATGTATCTGAATCAGAATTCTGTCGCCCAGGAGCACCAGAAAACCCTCCTGAACCTACACGTGAACTTGAATGGTGGTAATAGGCATAGTTAGGGCGTCTGCCAAATGGAATAGTGATTCCGGGTGATGGCCTGCTATAACTACTCCCTAAACTACTTCCGTACTGCTGTTGTTGTTGTTGGTTTTGAAAAGATGAAGCGATATAGGATCCATTCTGCGTTGGATATTGATAATGCAAAGACTGGAAACGAGATGACGAAGGCGATGAAGGTCTGTGTAGAAACGAGTTCATGGATGTGAAACTACTCCCGGGAAATGAACCCTGTTCAGACTCGGAAGAGAATCCGCGTGAGTGGTACCCAGAGGAGATATCACAATCAGAATCTACTGAGAGAGAGAAGAGCGATCGGATGGCAGGCAAAACGGATCTGATGCGCTTTTCCTTGACAAGAATGAAATCTGTGATACGGGTAGAGAGATAAAAGATAGAGATCCCATTCCTGCTCAATAATGCAGATAGTTCATTGATACGCCTCCCCGAGTTGTCTGTTAGGAATAAGACAAAGTGACCAATAGGATAAGTAGTCAGTTATCATTCTCAGCATATGTTTATAGTAATACGTGAATAACTTTAATAATAAACGGTGGGGATCATGCGCATGATCATTGTTTGTTTGTCCCACCACACCCTTCTGTATCGCTGATTGGACTGTTCCCATCAGGGACCAGATAATGCAGTTTTTTATTATTGTAAAGTACTCTGATTAGGTGCGGATACAAAGAATTATTGGAGAGAGATAATGGTTGTAATTTTAATTGCTTCAGTAAGCAAGCAAACCCACTTATCACGCTCTAGCCTCTTTTCAACTATTCGCTCATTCGTACAAATGCACACATGCTCACAATGTCGTCAGTTCATTTCATTTACTTTTTGCTTACCAATGCCATCGGGGTCATCGACCATGAACGCACAAAACACATCCTCAGTTACCATCATACCCTCTAATTTGAGTGATAGGAACTCATCTGTAATCACATTCATGTCCGCTATGATAGCAAGCTCAAGTGCATTTTGTGTGAACGAAAATAGGGTATCACGACTGCATGAATAGGAATATGCCATTCAGGAGATAATGAAGTTGGGATGGTTTTGGATTAGTGTAAAAGAAGCTTTTTTTGTTATACTTGAAAGTTGACAGTTATAGGATTGTACTAATGAAATAAATGGGGGATGCCGCGTACCTCTTAGGAAAGAAGATGTTCTTTACAATAGCATGAGTGCAGCTTTCAATGGATTTTGGATAAGATTTTGGAATGGAGAGCAGCTTGAGTTTCCATGGTTGCAGAGTGATTGACATTCTTCTCTCTTTTTCTATGAAAACGCCAAAGATGGAGAAGGAGAGAAATGGAGAAAGGAGAATTGGATAGCTATATGCTTAGTTGAAAAATCCTCACGTTTAAATAACACAAGATGGTAAATTGGTAGGTGAGTGAAAGAAAGAAAGATCGCAAATATCGCTTTTTTCGTCGACAATTCTCTTTTATGCGCACGGCCTCAGAGTTTGGTGCCCTAATTGGAACATGCTTAACATTGGCGACTGTTCGATGCTTGTTGGTTTTCCAAATCTGCTCTGATTTCACCATAGTTTAGCAGAATTGATTAGCATCCCCTGAATAGCTGCCATCCAAAGGGATTAACTTCGAATGGACAGGATTTACTGTGTTGTTCAAAACAATAAAACTTGACTGAAAGTCTGCTAATCCTCAAACCATGAGGCAAATAATGCCTCTGAACGCTTCAATAGGATTATGGCGAGCTTTTGGGGTGCAGAAAAGACAAGATTGTCTCTTTTGAGCAATGAAGGATATAGGATTTGTTCCTTGGAGGCAAACTTTTTTAAAACCACGCTTGTTGCTAGTAAAAACACAAATGGTTCCCGTTTTCCGCATACTTTCAGCGCTTCCACAATCCAAGGGCTGTGATGTAGCCATTAAATGTTACATGTTTGTCGAAGTGTTGACACATCCCTTGCAAAAGTTCAGATGTATGCTAAGAATATTGTTTAAGGGACGTAGAGTGGTCAATAGCATGTGGCAGTATTCAGGTGTTTATACAGTATCAGATGGAGTCCGAACAGTCGCCATATTCGGATGGATTGTAAATTGAAGTGAATATTTGAATAGGTAGGATGAAAATAAAGTGAACACATGGAATAATATAGAGGAGTTGTAATAAAGCGCTTTATATCCAATAGCTTTCAAAGAGTATATCTGTATGAGCGCTGTTTCTGAGGAATATGTACGCCTTGTTGAGGCTCAGTGGAGGTTCATGCAAGAGGAGTGGCCAGCTATAAAGAAAGCCAAGTTTCATCGCACAGAGATGAAAGAGATATCTGACGTAACACACGTCAAGTCAATGGTGCTTGACCGTCTAGGATTCATCCCTACGTTCTTTTTTCTGACACAAGTATTTGGAGTGCGTGACTATGGTAGCCCATATCGTAATGTCGAAAAGGGTCTTCTGCTCCTGTATGCACTAATCACAGGAGATTCATTGTCTACAATGTCAAGGTTCATACCAAAGACGTCCTTTTACGACTTGCACAGGGAATTTTATCTTCGGGACCCTGTGAAACTACATGATGACATAACCTCAATGATGAGAGATATGTGCTCGAGTTTGAAGCTACGATTGCTACTTGCCAAGAACAACCCTGATCCATTCAAGCATGTGATATTGAATCTAGACGGACATGACACAAGAGTCAGCTACATCGGTGCTGACAAGCCAAGTCTCTACTCTTATAAACTCAAGAAGTCGGGTTTTCGTATTCAAGTGTGTTCAGACATGAACAATATCATATTGTTTGCATCCAAGCCAGCTCCTTCTCGAGATTTCAATGAAGGGATTATGCTTGTGAAGATGAACATTGCATCGCATATACACAAGCTGGACTGTGTTGCTCTTGACGGTGGCTACAGTGGGTTCGTTAGACAAATTGTCGAACCATCAAATGCACTGTCCTACGAAAATTTCTCTTATCCTGTGCGCAAGACTAGGGGGATCGCCATGACAGACCAAGAGTTACATTACAATAAAGCGTTTGGTGGGTTTCGGTCAAGCATCGAAGGGTGCTTTGGAGACATGCAATCCACCTTCTCCAAGTTCACACACGACGCTCCCATCCGTTTCTCAGACGCAAAGACGTTTGATCTCCAATTCAAGCTTTGTTGCCTGCTTATGAATATCAAGAGAGTCGTGTCAATCCATAATATCCCCACTCAGACGCACCACACATTCTGGATGCAAGATGCGTTTGACTTTCCAGACAATAATGAGTATCAGGTTGCTTATGAGAAGCTCCCCAGCATCAAAGTCAAACTAAATCATGGTCGAAGTCTTTTAGAACTACAAGAAGCGTTCCTATCTGTAGCTAGTTCGCAGCCTAACATACTAGACACTGCAGATGAGACTATGGCAGAGACAGCGCAGGAGGGATACGAGGTTGCTAGGATTTTAGACCATCGCGGGGAAGGTGAGGACATGGAGTTTCTGGTTCAATGGGAAGGCTTCGATATCTCTGAGGCAACATGGGTGGCTCTACAGCATTCCAACTACAAACAGTGCATCCAAGACTATTGGAGAACCAAAATCAGCTTCTAGAGACCGATTGCACGTACTTTCAAAAACCATCATGACGCGCACAGACCATGGGGGCGACTTTCCAAATTCTTTTATAGAGATGAAATCCAAAGTCGCCCCCGGTTAAATATTAATCCATGACTTTTCAAAAAGAATACAATATCGTAATCTGCTCAAGCCCTCCGTTATATTCATTTAGTTCCATCATTGAAGAAACCTTCCCAATTCTTCCCTACTTCCCTCATGTATTTTATATGATAGCTTGTGGCTTTCTTGTTAGTTCCAACTATATGAATACCAAAAACCTCATTCAAGACAGAGTTGACAAAGTTCTGCCGGTTTCTGAAGTTCCAGTTGCTATGAGATGGGTACGGGATTAGAAGTTGTGTGCAAATATTCCGCATGTTTGACGATAGCGATTCCCATTGCTCATCCAGGCTTGATTTGAGAGCAGTGGATGCTCTACATTTGGGATCAAATGGGGAGTCATAACCACAGGCAAAGAGGATGTCTTTTGCATACTTTAGTTTGGTATACTTTGATTGATGTAGTCTATGTAGTATGGCGCCAGTGTCCCTCCTTTCTTGATCTTTCCCCAGAGGATACGAGTCGCTCTGCTTTGTCATCTTCAACTCTGGGTCGTTCTTCAAGGCTCGCAGATTCTGAAAGACCTTCATCTCTTTTGGGTTACTGTAGGTCTGCACCCATTCAGGCGTAAGGATAGATGGGTCCTCAATGCCGTAGGCGTCCATAATCCTGAATTTTTGTACTGCGTAATACTCTTCAGTAGAAAGGTCTGACCTTGTTTCCAGTCGTAGTAATTCTTCGTAATCAATTACCTTGGCCTCCGATATCCCTGTATACTTGGCTTGAAGTAGGGTGGCTGTCCTCTGTTTCAGAGATTCAGAAACCTTAAGGTCCTTGGGCTGATTAGATAGCCCAACAACTCTGCAGCCAGCCTGAACCATTTGAGCAATGAAACGCTGAAGAAAATCATTCATTGATAGATGCTTCTTTATCAGTGCATTGATGAATATTGTGTAGTAAATATCACCAACATCATGCTTCACTCCAGGACCTTGCCCTACCCTCAGATCAAACGGAAAGCCATTCGTATCCATAGCGCATCCCTTGATTTGAACCTCTTGGCTGCAAAAATACCTGACTATTTCGTTGTGTGTTGTTGGAAGATTGTTTATTGAATTGCTGATATAGACAAGGTATTCTTTTTGCTGGACGTGCCGTACTCTTCTGAGCATTTGCCTACATGTCTCTACATTGACTTTACTTTGTGACATGAAAAATCCTGCAACATAATCAAAGTGTTGCATGTTACAATCAAGCCCAACTGTGATGGTTGGAGTATGAATAAAATAGTCGAGAGTTGGTGCGATTTCATTAATATTCTGTGCAAATGCCCTCTTCTCCAACTCCAGGGAATTCGCAGTGATGCACATCCCAATGAACCCCATATCCTTCAATTCACTATGTAAACTTTCAGCATCTTCAGCCTTCTGTGTGCTACATACCCACACTTTCTTTCCAGACTTGACTAGTTAATAACCTTTAACTTCAGAGAAGCCTCATTCTCATAAAGAGAGACGAGATCTCCTTGCTGTGGCTTGAGTGTATTATGGATAACGTGGACATCATCTCGAAGCTCCTTGATGACCTGAACGTCTCGGTCTGTTAGATCAGCATCCAAGGCAATCACCTTCCTGGATACCTTAATGAAGTCTCGTAATATATCATTATTGGCCTTGTGGAAGCCCCTCATGGTGGCGACACTTGTCATCTGATCAAAGATAGATGACACTTCATCCAGAACCAGAACAACATCCATGGTGTAGTATGCAAGATCCAGTTTATGTAAAGATTCGGCTTGTATGACAATCTTCTGACCTTTGATATAAGTGGAGGGAAAATCCAAATAGCTTTTAAACCCGAGTCTCTTCTCTAGACTGGAGGCTAGTGTCTGTCTTGGAGATATTGCAAGATACGTCAACTTTGGGGTTCATTTGAATAAACTGCTCCAAGAATGTCGTTTTTCCAGTGCCAGTCTCGCTCCTTATCAGAGACTCATCGGTGATTTGTGGTATTTGATGTCGGGTGACGCATACACTTCGCCTGGATGCAAGTGCTGATCTGTGTCCAACGTAGCAAGATGTTGTCTCAGGACAATCTTTTCGCCGAAATCCAATTCCCCGACGAGGATATTGCGGGATAAACCCTCGGCAATAGCTCTGTAGCAATACAGCGTCACTCTTCCATTTCGACTCACTTGAAGATAGCCATTCTCGTTGTCGTGTCTTCTCTTGCATACATCGCATTGACCAGATTGAACTCGTTGCAGCTTATAGATCCCACCTTGGCCATCATACTGTATTCTGTATAGGTTTGCATGCTTGTATTGTGCAAATATTCTATGTACAGCATCAGAGACGACAGATAACGGACAACTGGTGTGGTAATGTCATATCTCTAGATGCATCTCCAAGTGCTGCTGAAATTGACGGTATCTGGTTACGCTGGCGCCTTGAGAACCTGTCGGCAGCTGGAGATTTTTCCACTTTGATACTATTGGGCTGAACATTGGTGATGAAAAATTCTGCATCCAATGCATGCATAGATGGCTGATGCCATGGGGTACGGATGAAACGTCTGGTTATGTCTCTACGTTTCGAGCTTCCGAGACATCGGATGCTTCTGCTTCTTGAGTATACACCTGAATCAATGTACTTGAGCAGATTACCTTCATTCTGATCCTGGTCAGCTTTGATATCCTTGAAAAAATCAAGCAGGAATGTCCGAAGGTGTCTGTGATTGTTCTCGAATGTGTACGTTGGTATCATGACATGCAATGATATCTTTTTATGAGTGGATGAAGTCAAGATTCGGCATTGATTCTCGGTGATGGGATATTTCGGTGCATATTGGTTGCGAGCAGCAAGAAACTCACCAAAACACTCGTCTTTCAAGTTACGCAATAGCATCGATGCCCTCGCTAGGGACGAGTGGACTAGCGCCGTCTTCGAGTGAAGGAGGATCGGTGTTTCCCTTGGAGGTCGTAGTAAGTTTCCAGGTCAATGTCGTAGTACTCACAACAGGGATTTCCTTCTCGGATTTGCTCGAAAAAAGCATCTGTAAGGGTTCGGGAGTTTGTTATATTATATCCAAAAATGGAGGTAGATCCTTGTAGCTTGCAAACTCATAAGACGACTTCTTGCCATCCGGGAGAAAGGCCACTTTCGTACATCACAAAGAAAGTATTACTGTTTCGCATCAGCCCATTCGTGAGCCCTTGCTTGTGGACCCAAGGTTTGCTTCTTGTCAGCAGCAAAGTAAACTGATTCAAATTTTTTGTAAGTCCGGTTTGTATTTTCAGACATAGTAGGTAATATGTTGATAGTTTATAGTATATGAGTAGCAATTTCATTTTATTTTGTTATCGAGTGAACAATAGACTATCATGGGAATGATTCTTATTTTTCCTGAGTATGAGTGTTAAAGACCTTTTGAACATAAACGATCATCTCCTCCTCAGTCTTGCTATCCTTGAGAACGAAGTTGCGGCGGCTGAAGTCGATTGGTGCAGCCACGTCATCTTTCATCTGTAGGTAAACGTTTTCGCCTCTTGGAGAACGATCAGATCGCAACTCTGCAATCTCAACGGGGTCGAGGTCAGGATTGTCAGCAATGAACTGGTCCAAGGTACGATCGACAGCCTTGCGCTGCAGCGCAAAGAGACGATAGCCTCCAATAGGCAATGGCTGAGGCTGCGGAACTTCAAAATAGCAAAGACCTCCTGCTTTCCATAAGGGCGACTCAATCGGTCGCGGTTGGCCTCCAGGCGTGCACGCTCGCTATTGGCAAGAGCATCCTTAGTGTTCTTCAGCTCAAGTTGAGTTTCAGAAAGACAGGATAGGGTGCCCTCAAGTTGTGCCTGTGATATTTCAAGATCCCTTTGCATCTGCGAGTTCAAGCGAAATAGCAGCAAGCCGCTTGCGCAGTATCTCGATGGTAGTGGGTTCTTCGCGCACTGTTTATGAATTGCAGAGTATTAGTTTAAGAGCAAGCTTCATTGGTGCGCGCAGAAAGCATGTACGTACTGGTTGTCTTGGTTATAGCGACCTGGTGGAGGAATTCAGGGAGCGAAGGGAAAGGGATGGAGGAAGGAAAGGAATAAAATGGATGTTTCTCATGGCGATGAAAGTGTTTTAACATTTTGTGATGTGATAAGGAAAAGAGATGAGATGGCATAATTTCATTGGATGGAAAGTAAATCGCATGACCCTTTGACCTTATGCTCTTTATTTAAAAAAAACCACACCGCCTCTGCAGGACTTTATCAGATGTGGTGACACGGCGGCGCAGATGGGTCTGTGCACGGACCATGGGGCGACTTTTCAAATTCTTTTATAGAGATGAAATCCAAAGTCGCCCCCGTTAGATATTCTACCGCGGCATGGCTCTGGTGGTCGCTCGCAGAACGACAATTATAAAATAGTCTTATAAATTGTTCTCTGAACTGAAAGCACCTGAAAGATTGTGATTGCTTTTCACGTCACAAAGAATATGACATGTGAATGATTTGAAAAAATATTCCTCAGTCCTGACTTAAAAGGAACAGATTTATCAATTGTCACTCCTTTTCCTTCGTCACGCAAGCAACTTTTTTTTTTCCTCCCTCAACTTCATCATCACAACTTACATTGTCACAATTTTGAACCATCTGCTACTGAATTAACATCCTTTAACATTTTTATCAAACTTTTCCTATTTTCTGCCCTCTGTCCATTTATATCCTTGTTTTTAAAAAGTTTTGAAATCACAATGGGAAAGACCAGAACACCATCTCGAAACGCATCACCTCGACCTAAACCGTATGAAGAGTGTTCAAGCACCAGTGGGCCTAAAATCTCCGAGCCAACTGAACTAAAGATTTTTTGTATTGTTGAGGGAGAAGCAACGTCTTTTCCTGTAAACACTCTTTCCAATCGTTCGGTCGGCGAACTCCAGCAAGCCATCAAGGCAGCGAAGAAGCCAGAAATCGATATGTTTGCCGCAGACAAGCTCACCCTCTACAAGGTTTCCATCCTGACGAAGGCAAGACCATCGTCGAGTCAGAAATCGAGTCAAAAGAGGCTCTCGCAATCGCGTCAAAGAAGCTTGGGAACATATTTAATTCTAAACTTCCAGATGAAACTATCCATATTTTTGTCAAGCTCCGCGCAAGGTATGTATTTAGCTTTGATGGACTGATGTTTTTGATATTTTCAATTGATGAAGCTATCTCATCACGGTCACGTGTATCCCTCCCTTTTTTATGTTGTTGAGATGAATCTCGGCAACACTATTTAACGGGGCGACTTTGGATTTCATCTCTATAAAAGAATTTGAAAAGTCGCCCCTGGTCCGTGGCATGCTCTGACTCTCACTGTTGTCTGAGAACACAGTTTTCATTTTTATTTTTATTTTTTATTTGACCTGTTTACATTGATGCATTTGTTAGTTTTTCTGATTGAATCTGTTTCGCGTTTCGCACACATGCTCTGACTCTCCATTAGCTGGCGTTTATATCTCATTGACAGCAATATATTCTTTGATCTGATCAAAATGCTAAATTTCTGCCATTGCCGCGCTCTCTTATCTTTCTAGAGTCATCGGAACAGATTCTCAAGAGAAAAATGGATGAAGGTAATAATTTGTTTTTTGCTGTATAGATAGATTGACTTGGTGACTGACTATATGTTATGGTACTAACCAACTGTGTATGTGTACGATGATCATAATTAGATCCACGGTATATTTCACCTTCAAAGAAGATGCGCATTGAGGAAGGGTGGAGAGAATACAGGGCTTCTGATGGCAAAATGGTCACGTTACCCCTCTTGGATCGCAATGCTGGAGAATCCTGAAGACCCGCCCGATCACGTAATAAGTTTAATCATCTGAAAAGCGATAATCAGCTTGGTGATCAAGTTACATTCCATCCTTGGGCCACACCGAAAGAATTTAGGAATATAATTCGGTTTATATTACGGATCAGATGCTGAATTGTGGAAGGAGATTAGTGCTGAACAAAGTTATTTCATCGGCGAGTCCTTTCTGGTCCTATGGGGGTTGGCAAGTCATATCTATCCTATTTCCTTGCTGCAAAAGGATATGCGGAAGGGTGGCTTACCCTTTATATACCAGATGCCGCGATATTAATGGAAGTCGGATAAAAATCGGCAAAGGCACTGTTAAGGCTTCTTCGCTTTCAACAGGGATATCTTGACGGCATCTGATCTGGAAAGTCTCCTCGACTTTTCTGAAATGTAATTTCAATTGTGGCTGCTCGCGCAGTATTCGACCTATTCAAACAGAAGGAGCGCAAAACACTGTTCATTATCGACGAACATGGAAAGTTATTCCAAGAAAAACCGTAGTGCCGGATAAATACCCGTTCCTGAAGCATCTAATGAACCTTAATCTATGGAGTCTCAATACAAAGGATCTAGAGTGATATTTACAGGAACAGCCCATGCCAAATATGAATTGCAGATTATGGAAGACAGTGCTCGAGTATCCTTATTGTACTTTGTTGGCCCACTATCCGAGACAGTGTTTTCAAAATGGTTGGAGGTCCACCTGAACCAACCCGATATTGTCCAGGATATAATGAGGATTACAAACCGTGTGCCACGAGAGTTTATGTTCTCATCCGGTCAATTGAGGAAAGACCACTCACAAGAAATAGCATTGATGTATGTAACTGAGAGAACAAGCGAGTTTCCACTGTAGTTTGGACTACTACGATCTCGCAGCGAGAATCGAAGAAGAAGTTCGCTAAAAGCCTTGCAACAGTCTTCCTTGGCAACAACTCGCAGAGTGTGATTTTGAATGGGATTTCCGTGACCTAGGGCTTATCTATCGTCTCAACAAGAACCGCGGAGCCATAAACTATGTCTTGTGCCTCCCAGCGCAGAAAGCACTCTTTCAGGCGTTTACAAATATGCCTCATCATGAGCATATCCTGAGGGGAGTTATTTTGGAGAGATGAGTGGAGATGATTTCGAGTTGGCACTGCTGGTCCGGTTTTTGACTTTAACCAAGCCAATCGTTCTCAAGCAACAAACCTTTCGGCAGAATCCAACGAGATTATAATGGACTTTAAGGATCATGGGACAATCCATCAAGCATGACTTCTCTTGGACGTGGCTATGGACATGTACTGAGCCATTGTCATTCGAGTTATCCTCGCTTTGATTTCATACTCGACACAATGTTTATCCAGGTGTCCATAAGTATTTCCAAGAACAGAGAAGACAAATAAGCAAGATCCAGAACGCTTTTATAAGGAGAGGTCCGACGGCAAAAATCAGATTGAAAATATTTGGACGAAGTATTTGGAGGTAATCATTCCGCCTAATTGACGATGGACATTTTGTTGTCAAAAAGGATGGAGAGCCAGTAACTGGATTTAAAATAGTTTACATGCGTGGTTCCCCTGGTGCACCAAACCACACTGGATTAATCAAGATTACAAAGATCTTCTTCATGTCAGCTTCGACGAGCTCAAAGAGAAACTTTTTAAAATATCCCAACTTAGAATTTTTGTCACGTAATCAGTAATAATATAGTTCTTAATCCTATAAAAAGGCTTGTCATAGAAATTTAATAAGGTTCTTTATTTTTGAGATGTATCACGGCTAAAATATTTAACTGGGGCGACTTTGGATTTCATCTCTATAAAAGAATTTGAAAAGTCGCCCCCATGGTCCGTGCGCGCCACAGAGAGGTCACTCACTTGCTTAAGGCGACTGTTCGATGCTTGTTGGTTTTCCAAATCTGCTTTGATTTCACCATAATTTAGCGGAATTGATTAGCATCCCCTGAATAGCTGCCATCCAAGGGACTAACTTCGAATGGACAGGATTTACTGTGTTGTTCAAAACAATAAAACTTGACTGAAAGTCTGCTAATCCTCAAACTATGAGGCAAATAATGCCTCTGAACGCTTCAATAGGATTATGGCGAGCTTTTGGGGTGCAGAAAAGACAAGATTGTATCTTTTGAGCAATGAAGGATATAGGATTTGTTCCTTGGAGGCAAACTTTTTTGAAACCACGCTTGTTGCTAGTAAAAACACAAATGGTTCCCGTTTTCCGCATACTTTCAGCGCTTCCACAATCCAAGGGCTGTGATGTAGCCATTAAATGTTACATGTTTGTCGAAGTATTGACACATCCCTTGCAAAAGTTCAGATGTATGCTAAGAATATTGTTTAAGGGACGTAGAGTAGTCAATAGCATGTGGCAGTATTCAGGTGTTTATACAGTATCAGATGGAGTCCGAACAGTCGCCAATAGGTTTGTGCTGTATGAGCGACAAGTTTGTGCTCGTTTTCTTCCAACACGTGCTGGAAATCGGAAATCACGCCCTTTCTCTTCAGGCTCAGATCTCTAATAATGTCACCTTTCGCCTACCAAAAAGAGAACATGGACCATAATGAAAAAAGCACGATGAACTCAAGTCTTAGTGAACCAGAACAGCCTATTAACCTTCCTGGAAACTCAGGTGATGTTAATGAGAACGATGATAATGAGGACGTGGAAATAGTTTCAGGAAGTTCAAGTCACCTATATGAATAACCAGAACATTGACCTATGGAACTGTCTTCACAAGAACTGTCTCTAAAGATCTATCTCATTTGCTCAAAGCCAAAAGAGGAGAGGAAAATGCAACAGTAATGACGAATAGAGTACTGAGCCAAAAAAAAAAAAAAAAAAAAAAGCTGTGTAGACAGTAAAAACCAGTCATCTAAAATGAAGTTTAGTCAAAAAAAATAAAATACTGAAATAGCTTCGCAGGGAAACATTTTCTTCAATCTCTTTCTTCCGTTTCCCAGATATAAATAGTTTGAGTAAGCTACCATGTCCTGACACTTAGACATCGAGCAAAAAGGTATCATTGTTGGGATGCACCTCGCAGGCATGAAGTATGTGGAAATCGCATTGCAATGCGGTGTAGCCCGAACCCCTGCCAATAATGTATCAGGGTGTATTGAGAAGGAGGTACAGGAACTTTGCTGTATATCCGACTTTCTGGCTCTTCTTAAAGACGCGTCTCCTTTCCTTTGTCTCTGTTCCTGCCCAGAATCTTGAAGGGCACCTTGAGGGGTATCTTGGGGAGAGGAGGGCCTTGAGGAGCGGTTTTGGGCGCAATTTTTGGCCTCGTGAGTTATGGTTACGGTAGTATTTGTAGGTTTAAAATAAAATACTTGCTTCTTGTCATCTAGTTTATTTTCTCAATGTACGTGACATATCCAAACGAAATAATGATCGCGACAATCTTGTTCAAGCCAAGAGCTGAAGTCCTCTTCGTTCACGTAAAAAATCGAGGCAGATAGTCATACGGTTCTTTATGGAAGTCGTTTACAATAACATTGATCGTTTCATCATCGAGAGTTGACTTAATCCATTTATAACCATGCACCTCCGAGCGCAAAATCTTAGTTGTTATTTCATTGGCCTTCGCAATGATCCTCTCGTCAAGTTCTGAACTTTCTGAACCATCCGGCATGAGTGACCTTTCCCTGGTATCAAAATCTGCTGTAGGATGGATATCAATGGCCTCAACGAGAGCTGCAGGTGA